CCTTTGTAGTGGACGCGCAGGTTGCCCTGCGAGAGGCCGATGTAGTTGTACTTGTCCTTGGGGCTCCAGGACCGCGGCAGCGGCGTCTCCTCCTGGTTGACTGCGGGGTAGAGGCGGCGGAGGCGCTGGCTCAGCTCCTGCTCCTCGGGCGAGCCCAGCAGCGCCGCGTCCCCCCCGTGCAAGCTCCCCGCGCCTGCCTCCGCCATCTTGGATTCGCTTTGTGTCACCGGGCGGGGAGCGAGGCCCGGCTCCAGCCGCCAGCCAATGGGCTGCGAGCGTGGCCACAATGGGGCCGCGCTGCTCGACGGGAAGCGGAGTCCGCGCCGCGCCTCCCAGCGCGCCTCTACTGCCGATTGAGACTACACATCCCGACAGGCCATGCGTCCCAAGCTCCACCCCCTCTCCGCCTTGCGCAGCACGCTGGGAAACGTGTACCCCCCTCCGCCCACCCTCTGGGAGCGCCGCCGCGGGCAGGACTCCCTTTCCCAGCGTGCTCCGCGGCAGCGCTGCGTCTAGCGGCCGCCTTACGCCTGCCGGCCTCCGCCGCCCGCCTCCGCGCCGGGACGGGTCCCGGGCCGCCCCGCCGAGGGGCCAGGCACCGCCGCTCCGGGGGCCTCGCTTTGGGACCGCCTTCTCCACCAGAATCCGCCTCTGCCGGGGCGGGGCCGGTCCGCGGCGGGGCTAGCCAGCGGCAGCAGCGCGTCAGGCGCTGCCGGGGCAGCTATGGTGGCACGCGAGGGGGTCCTGAGGCGGGAGGGGGGGGAGCGTCTCCATGGCGACGGGTGTACACAGCGCGGGCCATGGCGGCGCACCGCCCTCCGCCCCGCGGGTAAGGGCCGGGCCGGGCCGGAGTGGGGGTGGGTAGGGGATACCAGCGTCCGCTATCGGGGGATACCGGCCGCCCGTCCTTCCCCCCAGGGCTGCGGTGCCTCTCCCCGCCCTGCCGCCCGCACGAGCTGGGAGGCCGCGGGCTCCCTCAGCCCGCCCCGCTCCCCGAGAGCCGGCGTGGGGCCCGAGCCTGGGCGACGGGACACGGTTCGGCCCCCCAGCCTGGCTGGAGGCGTCGGTAAACTGTGGGGAAAGGGTTTCAAGGGCTGCTCGTGGGACATCGGGACACGGTGTTCCTGTAGTAAGGGCCACTCCCTGGCAGCGGAGCAAGGGATGCGCTGAGTGATTCCTGCAGTATCGGCTCTGCCGTTGTCACTGTTTCTAGTCAGTTAACATTTGGAAAGCTGTGTATCTCCGTACTAGTTGTTTTCCATACCACTCCTTTGTCAAAGCCTCTGTCACTACCATCCGTACCTTGTTCTAGTTAATCCAAATAGTTCAATTATAAAAGCAGAGTGGTCTCCTTTCTTTCCATTTCCTCAAAGGGGACAGAGTGTACCCTCAGCAGGTTTGCTGGTGACACAAAGCTGGGAGGGGTGGCTGACACCCCAGAAGGCTGTGCCACCATTCAGCAAGACCTGGACAGGCTGGAAGGTTGCCTGGAGATGAATGTCATGAAGTTCAACAAGGACGAGTGCAGGGTCCTGCACCTTGGGAGGAACAACCCCATGCACTGGTACAGGTTGGGGGTGACATGCTTTAGAGCAGCTCTTCAGAGAGGGACCTGGGAGTCCTGGTGGACAACAAGTTGCTAGTGAGGCAGCAACGTGTCCCTGTGGCCAAGAAGGACAGTGGTTTCCTGGGGTGCTCTGCTCTGGTGAGGCCACAGCTGGAGTCCTGTGTCCAGTTCTGGGGTCCCCAGTTCAAGAAGGACAGGGAACTGCTGGAGAGAGTCCGATGGAGGGCTGTGAGGAAAGGCTGAGAACCCCAGGGCTGTTCAGCTGGAGAAGAGCAGACTGAGAGGGGATCTCATCGATGCTGGGCAATAGCTAAAGGGTGGGATCAGGCTCTTCTCAGTGGTGCCCAGTGACAGGGCAAGGGACAACAGGCACAAACTGGAACACAGGAATTTCCATCTCAAAATGATGAAAAGCTTTCCTTTGACGGTGCCAGAGCCCTGGAATAGGCTGCCTAGAGAGCTTGTGGAGTCTCCTTCTCTGGAGATGTTCTAAAACCCACCTGGACATGTTCCTGTGCAAGCTGCTCTGGGTGACCCTGCTCTGTCAGGGGAGGTGGACTAGATGACCTCCAGGCCTGGAGACAAGGCTCCAGCATAGGTCCAAGGCACATCCAGGAGAGAGGGCTGAAGACAGTTACAACTACAAAGTATTTCAGGCAGGGTGTGAAGGCTCAAGCCTGAGCTTAAATGGAGCTCCTGGACCAACTGGCAGAGGGTGCATGGGTGAGGGTCTCTGCTGAGGTTGGTCGGGGTAATTAAAGCCTGTTGAAGGCACTGACATCTCCCTGGACCACCTCAAAAGAAAAATTCTGAAGTGTTCGTGGCCAAGCCTCTGTATGTCTTGAGCCTCCCTCCAGCACAGAGAAGGCCTAATTTATGCCCCCAGAGAGGTTTTTATCTTCAGATCTCAGAGCTGTATGATGCAGGTAGTCTAAAAACATGCCCTCACTGCCTTTTCTGCTTGAGAGCTCCAATGTGGACAGCAATCTCTGCATCCACTCAAGAAAATTTACATAGAGTAAAAGCAACTTTGATTATATTGAAGTTGTATGTTTTGCACTCCTGGGAAGTACCTTTCATCAAACAAGCAAGTTTTCCTTGCTTCAATTTCACCAGCTTTCACAGTGCCAAAAAAGCCATCAGCTCCAAATCCAGGCTGTCTGTACCACAGTCCAAGTAACAATCATTTTTCCTTGTGGGAAAAGTTACAGGCACTTCTGTTTTTCTGTTTGTTTTTTTTTTTTTTTTCCACTTAATGTGGTTACCCGGGAACAGGCACCTTTCAATTTCCAAACATGGGATCTTGTAGTCAGAGACCCTCATCTTTTCAGGTGAGTGAAAAGCTGCCGTGGCTGGTCACGTGCTGACTGATGTGGCTGTAAAGATAACCATTATTTTAAGATCCTATTCTGCAAGAAAAAAAAAGAGACATATGCTCTTGCATGCAGCTTTTATGAAAGCAAATGGAAGCAGAGAGGGCTTAGTACTTTGAGTATCAAACTGGTGGCAAGTTTAGCTGCAGATAAGACGGTGGTACATTTCTGGATAGATAGGAACCTCATTTTGTTTAAATGCATGAAAAGTGCCCTTCAGATTCTCAAACAGGAGTTACTCTATGTTTAACACTTTGTTATATATTGGAGACTTTCAAAACACTCTGCAATTCTGACCGTACGCAACTTTGTATTCGTCCTGCTCCTTGCTCCTGGAGCATCCCTGGCTAGTGGAGTTGGAGCTTCTCAGGAGTGGCTCCCAGTTGCCACTGCTTTTCCATCCCTCCTTGTAGCCAGACACACAGCACAAGCTTCCGTGGCCTCCTTCCTCCTGCCAGTGGCACCGTGCCATGAAAGCATGTTGTGCCGGGCACAATCTTCTCTTGCCTATGTCATTGCGCTGAACACTGAGCAAAATTAAAAGATGAAGTTGCGTTCATTTTCTGCTGAGGTGGTGCCTTAAAGCAGCTTATACAGAGGTCTGATGAGCAGCAGGAGGAGGTAAACAGCAGGAGGATACAGCTGGGAGGAGGAGAGGGTTTGGCTTTTCAAGAGCGCAGCTAGACCAGCTCATGGTGTCTCAGAGAATGTCACCCAAAGGTGTGGTTCCTTGGGCAACCTGACCCAACTGCTTGGGGTTTCCGTCTGTGTCCTCACTGCCAGCTGCAGAATCACTCTCCCACCCAGGGGTGAATCACAGAAATGGCAGGGGTTGGAAGGGACCTCTGGAGATCATCTTTTCCAACCCCCTGCCAAAGCAGGGTCACCCGGAGCAGGTTGGACAGGAACACATCCAGGCAGGCATTGAATTTCTCCAGAAAAGGAGGCTCCACAACCTCTCTGGGCATGTTAACTCACGTGTTACATTTTCAGAAAGTCTAAACGGGATAACTGCAGGTTTTTCCTTGAATTAGCAGTAACACAGCTCAGAGAGTTGTCCAGCTCTCATCAAGAGCCTGTTGTGGTAGAGCAGAAATAGGAACTCCCCTTTCAGCAGTGCTGAGCTGTGACCACATTTCACATAGCTGCAGCTTGAGGCTGCTGTTTTATATGCCAGGGTGGGAGATCCACCAGCCCACCATCTTCTACCCCAAGGCTCTGCTGGCCCTTGGTGGCCTCCTCTGAGAGCTAGTCCAGCTCACCCTGTGCACGCTTACCCCGAAAGCAGGTGGCTGGGGAGTTAGACCTGCTGAAGGTATGACAGCTACCTGCCACCCAAGGTGACACTCTGCTGGCCGTTGGAGCTAATGCTCAGATATCAAGTGAAGCATGTGGTCATGTTGTGCCAGAGCAGTGACTGCAAATTCACTGTGGTCTCTGGATTCCTTTACCATATCATGGTTCTCGGAAGAGCTTGCAGTTTCTGAAGGAAAATTCATTTATCACATCCTTTTTCACTGTTCCTCAGACGTAAATCTGCTCCTCAGACCTTGTCTTCATTACGTTCTGCACTGATGCAAATTCAGCTGTTTGCTGAATTTTCCCTAAAATACACATACAATGGTATGTTTACTTCTTAGAAGGCCTTTCACCTCTACGTGCCAGTTTCTAGTCTAGGAAAAGGAGTTCCTGGTTATACTTTTTTCCACGGTTAGCTGGTTCTATGGGCCGTCAGGCCGTCTGTGCCATGGCACCACTGCCACCCCACAGACCTGGCTTTGCAGGCACTTTTGGGACCCTGGATCCCAGTTCTTGACCCAGGGGTGACAGGTTATCCAAAGCTGTTTCAAATCTCTCTGCTTCAGAAGACCCATTCATCCAGGCTCAGCCGCAGGGCTCCTCTCATTGGGACAGTGAGGAAGCCACCAAACCTTGTGCCAGTTGCCAAACAGCAAATCCTGGAGTTCAGCTCTACCACAAATGTTTCCATCAGTCCCTCTCTGTGCATTATCCTCTTGCATATTTTCATCCATCAGGCACTTCGTAATTGAGTGTTTACCTTAGATATACGTGAGCCAGACTCTCAATCTCCACTGTATATTTAGTTATTTCTGTATATTTTGGAAAGTTTTCTTCTTGTCATTGCACAGGACCGCTCCTGAATCTGCCTCTGAGACTCCCGACTGCCAAACACGGGTCAACAGTCTGAAATACATCCTGTCCAAGAAACAGAAAACACCGGTGAGTTGAAGAGTTCCAGTGAAACATCCAAACTTTAGCTAACTTGGTCAACTTTGAATCCTGCTGGAAGCCCAGGGACCATCCCAAACTATTAGGAAGTCAAGCAAGTTGTAATCATTTTAATGTTTCTTTAATATATATATATATATAAAATCTATATGTTGCTGCTAACTCTTGAACGTCAGATTCAGATGTCATCTTTGTGAATTAATTACTGCTTTTTTAAGGGTGGAGGAAAGAGGAGAAGAATATAAATGTTGTTCTTGGCTGCAACTTTTTGAGTAAACATATGAGCCAAATACCGAAGCCAGAATTTGACCCATGTAGTTTAAAAAAAAAAAAAAAAAAAAAAAACCAGACAACTGCATGCTGTTTAATCACAGGATAAGAGCATCCTACAGGAACATCTGCTCCATGGTATTTATCAGCCTTAATAAATAAAATAAACAAGCATGGGAAAAATTATATCCAAACTACAAGAAAATAAATTTCAGGAACGTGTATACCAACAAACTAATGGGAAGTTATGGTTTATAAAAGTCATGTTTGTTTTGGGGGCTTTTTTCATTAGCATTTTGGTTGTATTTCAGGAACGTGCCACTTCAATGACAAGCTGTGTGCTACATTAGCACAAGAACTTAACGTATTATTTTGTCCCTAGAGCTGGGATATTCTGTAAGCTCTTTCCTCATTGTACAAAAGATTTTCAAGTCTCAATAAATTAAAATCTTACTATTTCTCCAATGTAATTTTCCTGCTTCTTGCACTGAAATTAGGGCATTTAAACTGCTGAGGCTTTACATTTAACTTTTTCAGGGCTTGCTCAGTCTGAAGTTTGAGTTTTGAAAGTCAAACCCTCCTGTTTGCCCTGTGATTAGTTTTTTGTAAATTTTATGGACAGAGTAGGGAGGGATTTGCATTGGACAATTGTATACTAGTTATTTGGTTATAATAATGGTGATAATGTAGAGTAATCCAGCATAGTTGGCTTCCCCCCCCCAACACTGAGAAAGTTCCAAGATAGAAATGAACAGACTCTTAAAATTAACAAGATTTTCAGAAGCGCTTGCAGTTTCTGAAGGAAAATTAATTTATCACATTCTTTTTTACTGTTCCTCAGACCTAACTCTGTTCCTCAGACCTTGTCTTCATTATGTTCTACACTGATGCAAATTCATCTTTACTTGGTTTTTAGGTGTGGTCAGAGTTTCAGGGTACGGCCTGTGTCTTTCACTGTGTTGATTCTGCATTTTGGCTCTTTGCTGTGAGTTTGTGGTGCTCAGATACAGCAACGGGATTTTTTTTTTCCTTTCAATCTTTTCAGCTTTCTGCTCGAGGTCACTGGTCCACATGGCCGGCGTTTGGGTGTGGGCAGACCATCCTAGGGAATCACAAACCCTGCTGCGCCCCAGAGGAGAGAGAATCCAGGTAAGCCCAGCCTGTACTGCTGGTTTCCTGGAAGGATTCCTGGAAGCAGGTTTTGAAAACCAAGACCTTGCAGAGAAGAACCTCTTCCAGTGTTAGTGAGAACAATGGTGTTGGGCTACCCCACAAGAGAAGACATTGTTGATTCTGATCAAGTATTTAAGTAATAGAGTCATGCCTAGTATAAACATTACTATAAAATGCTGTCATTTAGTGATTCATTGACCGACATTATACAGGATCCTGCCAGGGCTCTGAGTACACCAACAGGCTCTGCAACCTCCTCTCCAGTCTTTGGAGCCTTTGGAAGCTGTATCTCAAGACTGGTTGTGATATGAACAGCTGGGTAACCCGGGATCAGGTGCTGTGAAGAGCTGTGTGAGAGAAAGCCTTCACTCAGGCTCACTCCTCTTTGGTTCTTGGATGTGGTTAAGAGCCGTTTAGATGTGGTGTTGGGGGGTATGGTGTAGGGGAGAACTTTGTAGAGTAGGGTAGATGGTTGGACTCGATGATCCCAAGGGTCTCTTCCAACCTAGACTATTCTATGATTCTGTGATTCTTAATGGAACTATGGTGTAGCCAGGTCCGTCTTGTACCTCACTGCCCTTGGCCTGCTAACATCCTAGCTTGCCATTAGACCTTACCCATCACTGTATACGTGCTGACCACCATTAAACTATAGAATCACGGAATCGTTTTGTTTGGAAGGGACCTTTCAGGTCATCAAGTCCAACCATCAACCAAACACTGCCAAAGCCACCACTAACCCATGTCCCTAGCACCACATCTGCCCGGCTTTTAAATACCTCCACGGATAGCGACTCCACCACTTCCCTGGGCAGCCTGTTCCAATGCTTGGTAACCATTTCTGTGAAGAAATTTTTCCTAATATCCATCCTAAACTTCCCCTGGCACAACCTGAGGCCATTTCCTCTCGTCCTATGGATGACCCTGGCTGCCATGAAGGGACCTGCTCTGCTGTTCTGGTTCGAGTCCTGTGGCTGGGCAGGTCACTGTCCCTGGTTGCCTTACCCCTGTGGGGTTCCAGCTCCCCTTGAGCACAGGCACCCAAACCCCCAGGGGAAGAAGATGCAGAGCCTGTTGGTGCAACTCAGGGCTCTAACAGACTGCAGGACACAGTTGTGGATGACATAATAAGGATAGTTGCACTTTAGTTTTAATTCTAGCTGGTTTTAATATGAAATATGCTTGATAGGAAATGGACATTTGGCCTAGAACCTCCTGAGGAACCTAGAACCTCAGGAGATATAGTATTTTGTCAGTTCTCTTTTCAAATGGCTGTTTTCCTTGACTCATTCCAAATAAAATAATTTGCATTTATTTTTTTCTGCCACAGAGAACCCATTTACTTGCCTTTTTATACCAAAACAGCATAGTGAAGTTCTTAAACTGAAGAGTAGTAATAGCAGGATGCCTTGAATGGATTCCTGCTCCATCAAGGAAATTTAAATCCCCTGTTGTATGCTTTGACAGAATATATATACAGTAAAGAAAAAAAGAAAATTCATGCTGTGAAGCAATGGGCAGTAGGGAAAAAAAAACCCAAAAACAAACCAAATCCTTGAGCTGATTTATTATGAGTTCATTCTTACGTATGAGACACACATAAGTCCATGTGTCCACTCTTTTCCTGTGTCTCTGCAGCAATAAACAGGCCCTTCTCACCATTCCAAAGCCACAGTATTTGGAGGAACTGGAGTCCTACTTAAAGAAAGAGCTGCAGTCTCTTGATCTGACTGAAAAGAACGCTCAAGAACTGAAGTTACAGGTCTGATACAAGGTTCTTTTGACTTGAAATACCTGCTGAGATGGATTACTTGAATTGGCCACCCAAAGGAAAAAGTAGATGAGAAGAGCAGGCACCTATGGGCAGTATTAGATAAAAGAGTTTGCAGCTCAAGTTAGAGAACTTTGGCAGAAAGCAATTTGTCTATATTTTGGGTTGTTTGGATGTTAGGTTTGCCTGTTGTTGGGTTGTTTGCATCTTCATGTGTACTCTGCATCTTCTATAACTGTTTCCATTTTCAAATCAAAGCCCAAGTCTTCAAAAAGATATGGTAACCTAAAATGTATGTGAAACAGAATTTAGTCACTAATCTCCTGAAGATTCTTGTGGAAACCCATAAAACAGCAAGTGTGTAGGTTCCCAAATTTTCACTGCAAAACCTCTGATTTCTGAAGTTAGGTTTCTGCATGCGAAAAGAAGTGACTTCTAGCTCTTGCCTGAGCTTGATCAGGATCCCTCAAATTCTTAGTTTCTGTAGTGTCTGTTCCTGGGGGTTTTATTGTAAATGTTTGAGGACACACCTCATGGAGACACCGAGAACCACCACTAATGTAAAACACACATAGAGTAGAAGTGGGTACTCCTGTTTTCATAATATCCTGCAATTAGAGCAGACCGTGGGAAGTTTGGATTTTATTTTCTCTGCACAAATTAATTCAAATTCTCATTCCCGAAGGAATACTGTAGTGATGGGGGAAGAAAGTGGTAGATGGAAGAGACTGGAGAGAAATAAAGAGTGACTAATGGCAAGAGAAAATAGAGGTTTCATAAATGTGTTTCTGTTTTGAAAATATTTTTACTGTCTTACATGGCATGTTTAATTGTATTTAATAGTCTGAACATTCCTTGTTGCTAGTGAAGTCTTCCCATGGCCCAGATACACCAAGTGAGTTTGACTGTCCTCTCTGAACAAGTTTTTATTCTGCTGAGAAGGACATTTGGAGAGAGACTCCCTCCGCTCTGCAGAGCTTGCCCTTTAGCTAAACAAAATAGGCAACAAGAGCAGCAATATGATCTTGTTACACATCTTTCACATCCGTATTGTTATGTCCTTGAGTTCTAGTCAGCTCCATCTGAACAGTATCATATTTTGGAGCTGTGCCCTGACAGACTTTATCAAAGCTTCTCTTTGGCTGCTAAAAATCCTTCGTTTGCTCTCCATCATGCTGGGGTGCCATTCAACAGGGGAGAGAACCCATGAGGTATTTGGGATGGCAAACCAAAGGTGGAGAGACTAAATAAAAGGTGGTAGCAGTGTTTTTATACTTATTCTCGCCGTCACTGCATGCCATTTGCGTTGGACCAAACAGCTATATCTCTGAATTCTGAAAACTGTGCCACTGAATGTTTTCTCAAGCTCTCTTTCTTCTCTCAGGCCTACAGAGAGATCTTTGAATTCTTCATAGACAGCTTCAAGACCTACAAGCCCTTGCTGTCAGCTATAAAGAATGAATATGAAGTTACCTTGGGTAAGCTCTTGGACTTTGACCCGTGGGGAAAAACACTAATACAGACATGTTCTTACAGAGCTTAATTATGTTGGATACATATATAGGATGCACAGCCTAAATAGATGTCAACTGATAAAACTTTCTGGTCCGTTAACTCTATTTCCTTTATGCGTAAGATTAAGGCCTTGGAGACCTTTTTTCTTATAATATTTTAGATTTTTAGATTTAGATCTAAGATTTTTAAATCTTTTAAATCTTTTAAATCTTTTAAATCTTCATCACATACACAGTTCAGGCCACAGCAGCGTCTCCAGGTTTTTCTGGGACAATTACATTTATAGTGGAGTGTATTGTACTAATATTTTTGGCTACATTGCCCTGCTAACTTGAAGCTTGAATTTCTCCTGAAGCAGGGCAGGGCAGGGAACTGAACTGGCTGTTCCCCGGCCATTCTTAGTCTGCTTTAAACTTTGCTTGGCATTCAGATGCCACTGTGATACCAGCATTTTGTAAACAATCACAGAGGGCTAGAAATAGACTGTAACCAGGAGCTGGTTTCGCACTGGGCACCGAGAAGCTATCAAATATCAACAGCCTTCTACTAAAACAGTCTCTTAGAGGACATATATTGTTTATCCCAGTACCTGTTACCAGGACGACCTAATCACAGTCCCTCATTATAGACAAAAAGCTTCTTTGCACAGTATCCTTCAGCCAGGTGAATAAGTCAATTTTAATCACTAAGTAAAACATTGCTTTTAAATCCTTCCAGAGTTTCCTTCCAGAACTCTTCAGCAGACATTTCTTTGCTTCAGCTCCCAGAGACATTACTGGTGTTCATGCTGTAGCTGAGATTGTGCTGCTTTCTGAAGCTTTTTTTTTTTCTTTTTCTTGAGCAGTTATTTACTGACTTCTTCATATTCCTTGGGTGTGATATTTCTCTTTTTTAGTTTGAAGTCTCTGGAGACCCAGCAAAACATATCTTTTATGCTAGCTTTATTTTTGGAAATCAGCTGAATGCCAGTGAACCAATATGCCATGGCAGCAGATGTAATTGAAGCTCTCAGAATAAAACAAATGGAAATTTTAATTTTTTTTTTAAGTTGGGATTAGGATCCTCCTTCCTTTCTGTATATTGAGTACTCATTTTCCTATTTACAGATTTTACCTTGCTTGTGTGGCATCCATCCTAAGGGTATTGAATGGGGTATCAGTAAGTGATTTCCTGCCCCCTCCCTCCATGCCTGGCACAGGCAGCAGCTTTCCTGCCTGCCCAGGGAAGCAGTGACCTAATCCAGCCACTCATGGCCAACAAAACAAGAAGGTCCCACGTCCTCAGTCCTGCTGGTACACTCCCTGTGCTTAGACTGCACCAGCCACGCACTGGACACCTCCACAAGCTGAATCAACTGACCCAGCAGGAAAAGCAAAGACCAAAAGCCACAAAGTTTCCTGTTGGATTAGTGAGTTGAATTGCACAGACACTTTCTTGAGCTCGGGAAAAGATAAAAGCAGGTGTCTGAGAGCAGAAATAATACAAAAGAAAGAGAAAGGGAAATAAATTTACTGATTTGTAGAACTGCACTCCTAAACATTTATCTTTATTCTTAAATTATGTGCTTAACAAAAACAACTTCTCTAAAATCTGTGAGAGGTGGCCATGCTGCAATCCTGCTGTTAGGAGCCCTCATAGTCCCTCACTGCAGCGCTTGGAGTCTTACAGTGCAGCTTTGGAGCTGATAGATCAAGGAGTTTGCTTAGAGAAATGTCTCATCACTCCACCTGACATGCATATGTCTGTAGCATTTCAGCTCCTTTTGAAACCAAAACTAATCCCCCTTTACACCACGGCACTGTATTTCTCAGCCAACTGGTTATTATCTTTCTAGTCTGATTTAGCAGCTTTGTCTTACTGTGGTTCTTTTGCCCAAGTCATACATGCTGCAGTCGCTTAGCCTATAGGATGGTTAAGGTGCTCACTGCTGCACCCACTGCCGGGGCAGATTCTCCCCTTAAATCTACGAGCGTTACAATGTTGTCCCAGTTCAGTCAGAATAAACTGGTTTTAAAAAAAAAAGAAAGCATTATGGCCTAAAACTGTGCTGCTTACACTGTGTATTTAGCTGCATCGTTTTGGCAGCATGGCATCTGAAGTAGCTCACACATGCCTTGCTGAGCACGCAGAGTGGAGAAGGCAGCAGCCTCTGATGAGAAAAGGGATGTGCAGCCTGTCCTGGCTGCTTGCACCTGCTTCTGCCAGAGCTGGACACAGAGCTGCAGCTGGAGCTCCTTTGGGTGCTGAGGTTGTGCTGAGCCAGCATTGAGGCTTTATGACATTCTTTCTGGAGTAAATCCACATGAACCTGAAGGTACTAAGCAGAATTTGGAAAAAAGCACCATGAAGGAGGGAGCCACCAAGTCTCTAGAGCTGTTACCTTGATCCAAGATAAAGGTTATGTTGCTGGGAGCTCTTCCAAGACAAAGCTGAATGACAGAGTAGGTCTTCATGGTGATGTCATCCACAGCTTAATCCACAGAATGGTTTGGGCTGGAAGGGACCTTACAGCCCATCCAGTGCCACCCCCTGCCCTGGGCAGGGACACCTCCCACCACACCAGGTTGCTCCAAGCCCCCTCCAACCTGCCCTTGAACCCCTCCAGGGATGGGGCAGCCACAGCTTCTCTGGCCAACCTGGGCCAGGCTCTCACCACCCTCCCACCAAACAAGTTCTTCCCCACATCTCAGCTCCATCTCCCCTCTTTCAAGTGCTGAGGCTTCTGGGTCCCTCCAGCAACTCCCCGTGTGCAGTGAGCTGCTCCCCAGCCTGAACACGTTCCAAGTGGGAGAATGTCGGTCCGTTCTTGGCATGGGGAGAGTTTTGTAGAGGTGACCAGAGAGCTAATGGTCTCAGATGGCACTGGCCAGTGTCTACACTACAAAACAATCACTTTGGCAGCCAATGGGTTTTGCTCTAACTTCTGACATACTGGGCAGCTACAACTCAAAATACTGCTGCACTTAATTTAAAGTGGTTTGCTTGTGGTCAGGAGTCAGTTGTGAAACACTGAAACTGCGCCTCAGAAGAAGTTTGCTGGTGTTTTAAAGAGGTCTCACTGAGCAACCAGAACAGCACAGTGGCGGAATCCCCGTGCTGATGCTCTAACTTTTGCCCTCTCTTGTCCCAATACAAGAGTCATAGTGAAAGAGTTTTGCAAAACCTTTGGTACAGTTATAGCGTGGGAAGGAAATTCACACCCAAGTATCATAAGAAAAGTAGTTCCTGTTCCTAGATTTATGTACGTGTTTTAACTTTTAAAATGAAAAAGCTGTTGCATGGTGTTTGTGCATAAATACAAATACCAGGTATTATTGAGGAGGAAAAAAAACCTTTCCAGTCAGATTATTCAGCACCCACCAGCGTTGTTATGTTATTCACAAACAAAATGAGGTTTGCTCACAGCCTCATTTGAATCACACCATATCCTCTCTTTGATCATTTTATTGTCCTGGTAGGATTCCATCTAGTCATAAAAAGAAGCCTCCACCCCAAGGAGGTGGCATCAGACCAAATTCTACCCTGTAGACCCAAGTCAAGTACTGCCACTGGGTTCCTCAGGTGAATATTTTTCAGACACATTTTCAAGTCAAAGGGCAAACAGCTGAGAGCAAATAGCACATGTTACAGCAGAGAAAGCCAAGAAGAGCACATTAATTCTGTGCTAGATGTACTGAAGGGAAAGGCAAAAGAAGAGAGGTCAAGACCTACCTAAAAAGAGGGAACAGAGGGTAAACAACACATTTGTATACAAAAGGTTACATGAGACCGTGCATTTGGAGACAAGAAAGCAGATCGAAGTTCACATGCCTTCACAAAAGAGGGTATATTGCTAATTACCAGATAATTTAGCCCCATATGCTGCCTCTGCTTAAATAACGACACTTTCCCACCTGGCGGAACATAACAAAGCCATCAGTGCTCATTGTATCTTATCAAAGCCTCAAGTATTGAAGAAAATAAAAAAAAAAAATACTGATGATCCTTTATTTTCCAAATCTGGACAAATGGCATGAGCTGAAATCAGAAATCCTTCTGTAACAATCGTTATGAAGCTCATATGCACAGCTGGATAAACAACGGGATTTAATCCCCCAGGATGCTGCTCCCAGTCCTTAGGCACTCACCAGACCAAGCAGTAAAAGCTCCCTGTTCAGTCCCACTTCCCCCTCACACTGTTTTGGGGTCCAATCTCCAACAGCTCAGCTGAGCAACATTCAGGCTTTGTTGCTCGTTGTGAGATCTCACCTCTGCTTTCTTTAGCTCATCAGAAGAAGACAATTCGTTCCCTAGAGCCACTGAAGGCTATGGTCACCACTGTGTCTGAGGAGTGCACCCAGAGGATACTGGCACTGCAGGAAAAGCAGAAAGATGAGATATATCTGTTAAAGCAAGAGAAACAACAGTTGTTAAAGATCATTGACAACATGAAGGAAGAAAAGAGTTCTCTTCAGACTCAGGTAAATTAGACAGCGATGAGTCAAACGTTCCCCTGGATGCATTTTGTACCTCTGGTCTCTTACCTGGCAGGCTCTCACCCTTTGGTGCCAGCAGAAGTTCTGGAGCAAGCACTGAACATCTGGCATGGTAACGATGCTGGAACTCGGCCAGCTCCAGAGAACACCCTGTTCCCTTGGGACAGGCCGTGCTGCCGCTGTCAGAAGCCTTCACTTGTACTCTCTTGTCCCATCTGGCTCTTGCACGGTCACGCTTGGGGGGGCGGAAATAAATGGCTTTCTGGTACTAATGTTTTATATTCTTACTAAAAAGTACCTGAGCTCTTTTACAACATTGTACCATTAGCATTGTTAAATTTGTATCGTTCATCTTCCTGGTGGGGGAGTCACTTTGGTGTTTATAGGAGAGATTAGTTAAGTCTTTCCAATATAAATTACCACTTTATACAGTTTTTTAACAGTTTCAGCTTCTCAGGCTGAAGTGATGCTGCTGTTGGGGATCAACAAGAGTTGATCTGTGGGGCTGCTGTGTGTGGAAGGATGAGGCAGGAGCTGAGGGGACTGCAGCACGGTCTCACAGCAGCCTGCAAGGTGGTGGTAGCAGCCACCCCCAACATCTTGGGATGAGGAGTTAAGCCCAGGGACCACCTGTGGTATAGTGGAGGCAGCAAACACTCAGGAGTGCAGGGATATAGGGCCAGGGTCAGGACTGGAGACAAAACTGCAACAGACATCCAAAGAGGTCCATCCAGAAGAGCTACCTACAACATCAGTCCAAGGTCCAGTTGAGGTATGGAAACAGGACTGGGGACAGACACACCTACAACACAGCTCAACAAAGACCAAAAGCCTCAGCCTGAGCTAAGCAGAGCTCCTGAGCTGTGGGCAGATGGTGCGTGGGTGGAGGGTCCAGCTGAGGCTGATCAGGACAATTAAGGTCTCGGGGCCCTGGTAGTTACTGTCACTAATTCAGGAAGTATCATAGAATCATAGAGTTGTCTGGGTTGGAAGGGACCTTAAAGATCATCTAGTCCAACCAAAGTCAAACCATATATTTTTAATCATTCAGCTTAGTGTTCTCAGATCTCTACTGCAGTTGAGAAAATATTTTGTTCAGTCATAGAAATCGGAACAAGTTTCTATGCCTCATCTCTGCAATCTGAAAGTTTGTGGAAGTGTTGGTTGGAAGGAACATCTAGAGTCTCCAGCCCACCCACCCACATGAAGCAGAACAATCATCTACATTATGTCAGACCAACCATGAGCTTGTCTGGCTTGAGTTTTGAGATCCACCCAGGATAGTGACCTTCCACCTGCCTGGGCAGCCTCTCCCAGGGTTGTACCATCCTCCTGGTGAAAAATGAGCATGAGGAAGAAATAAATGGTTCTTGTCACACAGTAATTCTGCTGTAGTCAGAGGTGTGATAACAGCATGAGGAACTCCACCTGAACTTGCTTTCATTTACTAGTTTAAGTAATAAGTTTAAGTGGTAAAGATGAAGAACAAGCTTCAGGACAGTCTGCGTAGGCTCCTTATTCATCTTGCTCATACTTGGTGAACCTTAGAGGCTTTGGTTTCACTAGTTAGATCAAAATGCTCATAAGTATTTCTTCTAGTTGCAGTCCTAGAGCTAGCCAGTTCCACCGGTTGATATTCACAGGCCTCAGTGCTTCACAGAGCCACAAAGAACCTTCTCTGAAAGAAGCAACCGAGAAGCTATGCAAAGCTATACTTACCATACCTAAGCATAGAGCCCAGAATCCAAATTTTAGTTTGGTCTATTTAAGTTTTGCACTTTGGGTGAGGGAGGTTGGGAGAAATAATTCTGCTCAAACCAGAAACCCATTTTTTGAGACAGTATTCAAACATTCTAGCTGGGGCACACTTAGATATTCAAAAATTCCTTGGAAAGATCCATCCAAGCTGCTGCCTCATCTGCTGGTGGCCGCATGGTTGTGGCTGTGATGGTGTAGGGACACAGGTGTTGCTACAGAGGGCTTGTATTTTATGAGACTAAATTCAGAATTCTCAGCAGAGTCAGAACAGTCGGAGTTCCCCAAGGTGCTGGTCATCTTCTGAGCAACAAGTAGAAGAACATCTTGATTCACTCCTTGCCCAGCAGATCAGACAGGCGTCAGGACATGATTTCTGATAGTTTTACTTTGCCACCAATTTAAAATGCAACTAATCTTAAAAATTATTACAATAAAAATTTAAAAATGCAGCACAAGTAGAATCCCATGTTTCAATCTAAGATACATTTCTGTCACCAGTTCCAGGGGAGTAAATCGGTCAGAGCAGCAGCTTTTTTATTCCCCTGTGACCAACAACAGGGAGAGAATAAGTTGCTGGAAGGTTTTTGAGATACAGTCTTAGAACAGAGAAATGGTGTAACTCAGATGATGAAATGTTTATAATTCATTCTCTAGAAGGCTGAACGCTCAGATAGAGCACCCTTTTGCACAGTATATCTGAGTTTGAACTCTTCTGTTGTATTTCCACCCGGTCCTTCCTTTTTCTGGCGTTCTCTCTTGCCCATTCTTCTCCTCCAGTTTCTCCCATTTTGCTTCCATTGTCCCACTCTCTCTCCTTAGTTTCTGTTCTAGACCCACCAAACCAGTTCCAGTGATGCTCCTCCTCAGTTCCAGCCTCTCTTTCCCACAGGTGGAGTACCTGCAGGCCAGCGTTGCTGAGGAATACACTCGATACCTCAATCAGCATGATGCCCACAAACTGCTTCTAGCAAAGCTGAATGAGATGCACCATGAACGGCTGGACATGACACGACGCCAAGCCCAAGGTAGAGAGAACCTGTCCTGCACACACGTGGGTGCAGCACTGCAGGAAAACATCAGAGTATCTGAAATATCTTCAGATATGCTTTGATTCTTGAAAGAAGTTAGACAAATTTGCGCACAGGTAGGAAAGAGAATAGGCAGGGATGTACGTACTGATCTGATTCACCAAATCATTGCTGCATTCTTGGACACTCTTCCTTAGCACAACAGGTTGACTGAAGGCAGGAGCTGCCCAGTGCAAAGGTTCCTTACAGTTTCCAACCCCAGTGCCAACTGTCAGCATGTCCTACCCAGTCACAGCTGCCAGCTTTGTGCTCGTCCATGAGGATGGACAAAACTGCTGGAATTCAGGTGTCACACGTACCTGGCACAGCAGTTACTCACGGTGGTAGGGACACATTCAGTACCTGATCTCTGTTGATCCAGAGTTGGGCTAGAGGCACTTCTGACTCGCTGGCTGTAGCCCACCCAAGGCTCTCCCCACCTGCCGTCCTTTCCGTTAATCAAAACCAAGCCTGAGCCTCTGAATACACATGTGTGTGCATGGGAGAGGAGGCAGGGGGTGGGGATGTGATCACTGCAATATACTTCTGGACTTGTAGTTCTTTAATAATAACACAGCCTACACCCACTCAGCTTCTTGCCATCGGGTTATGTGGTCTAAAAGCTTAATAGATGATTCGGAAAACAATGATTGCAATTTCACTGTCATGAGCTTTCATCCGTGGTTGTCGTTAAAAGATGTGAAGGGTGAAGACGGGGTGAAGTTAACTTTGGCATTGAAGGTAGCTCGGCAGGACCTCACAAAAGCCCAGGTGAAGCTGAATAAAATGTTAGCAGACTATGGAGATGTTGTGCCCAGGAGAGATTTTGAATCACTGGAGAAAAAATACTCGGATTTACTTCAGGAGGTAAGCATAAGCTCCTAATTTACATAAATACATAACATAATGCTTCAATATTCAGGTTGGGACAGGGACTCAGTAAACCCAGAGCTCACATAAGGGCATTTCTTTGTTCTTTGTATATGAGATATATGAAAAGCCACTGCCCCAAAAGCTCCCTGTCTGTTGGAATCTCAGACTGTCAGGGCACTCAGAATTAGTACATCATCACAAACCTGCAGTGTCAGGTTTAACTGAGTTAACTCAATTAACCATAGAATCAATAATGGCCCACAAACCACCAAGAGCCCATAGATTACCACTCGAGAACTGCTGTCTGAGGTCATCAGATCTAGAATAAATAAACTAGGTTCACCTCGCACACATTGCACAGTTTTTTCTGAACCACAGCTAACTGAAACTACTGCTGGGCTACTAATGCTTATCTGTCCACCTGGGTTTTTGCCTTTTCCAGTAGCATTAAGCTGCTTCTTTAGCCTACTGCAGAGCTCCAAGGTCATCAAACCCAACTATGGGGCTGTCCCTGCCCCAGAAGTCTATGGACTATGCTGACTGCTCACCTGAGCTGTCGGACAACAATGGAACATTTCTATTACTCTGTTACAATCCTCATTTCCGTACCCTTTAGATGAATATTCTGCGGAAGGATTTTGATCGGCTCCATGAGGAATACGAAACGCTGCTGGAAATCCACAGGGAGACGGAACAAGAGCGAGACAACTTTTGTGCTGAACTCCAGCGAGTGCAGCAGAACTGCACGCCCCGGCCAAACTGGGAGAAGTGCTCAGGTGCCACATGTACTCAGCAGCAGTTTGCTTAAGGCAGCTCATCTTTAACCACTTTCCTATGCTGCATTTGTCATCTGCAAGACCCTGGGTTCTCCTGGGCTTTTAGGCAGTGAGAGAGGAGCTTGCAGGGTACTCTATTTTGCCTTAGACATCTTAGGAGACAAACTGTCTAGAGATCAGTTTCTTTCATAAAGCTCCTCATGGGATTTGCACAAAACCAGGTGCGTTCTCCTCTTCTAGCAGCTCAGTGTCTTTTTGCTGTTGCAGATGTGATTCCTGGAGGGGCAGAGCGGTGGGACAATCTGGCTGTGGGGAAGACCAGTGAGCAGCTGGTGGACGTGCTCCTGGAAGAAATAGGAACAGCAGCACTAAAAGAGATCAATGTCTTCCCTGGATGGGTACGTGCAAAGCTTTCTTCTCTGCTTGTTTCCACTGAGAGTAATTGGTAATAAATACCCATTGGGAAGGCGGGAGAATCGCTTTTGTGGCTGGTGTCGTCAATAGTCACCTTCCCGTCAGAGTAACCACCCAAAACTTCAAAGCTGGGAAAGCTCAGGTGCAATAGAAAAGCTGAACCTGTGCCTAGTGAAGACACAGCTGAAGTAGCCACACTTTACAATGGTGCCACATGGATCAGCAGGTACTACTAGTGGGCTAAAGCCCCTTGCAATGCTGCTCTGTGTGGCTGAGACAAATTAACAGCCTCCTGCTGCTAATTAGCCTTGTCCTTCTCCTGGTCCCTACCCCCTGGCACTGCCTGCAGCGACGGGGAAGCATCCAGCAGAGCAGTATTTGATTTTCCCCAGTTAGTTTTCTGCTGATGAGATAACTCAGACAAAGCACTAGGATGACTAAAAGTAGCAAGACTACATAGTAGAGAATGACTCCTTTTTGTGGCACCAGGAAGTTCATTCCACCCATGCCATCCCATTGCACTGCACCCCAGCGTGTGGGGGAATCAGGAAATGACACAGGGACAAGGAAATGTTACAAGGATTCTTCACATCATACCAAGCATAGCTGTATCCAAAGGTTTTCTCGAGGACAGGGCGGCATTTCTTTGGTCCTTCAGCATCTCTTCCCCAGCCTTTCCAGAAGCTTGGACTGGTGGTCCTGCCCCTTATGGAAGATATTTCCAAGGAAGGTCTTTCCTCTCCTATTTTTGCTGGGCAGAGCCTCTCACACAGTCCCATTTTGTCCACCCTGGAGCACCTGAAACACGCTGCGGAGACACTGACAGCTGTGTTTTACAGTACTGGGCAGGAGACATGAATCATTTTAATGGCTTTAGATGCTGACAACGTGGGTTTGGTGCTGCATTGCTGCCAGCGGGGCAAGGCCTTACCTGTATCTATATTTCTTTTCCATTACTTAGGGCAAAAATGACAATGTTCCTGTGTACCTGAGGCATGAAGGTGAAGTCAAGAACAAAAAGCTGACTAAGAAGGATGTGGTCAACATCCTAAAGGACATCTGGAAGGAGAAAATTGCACTAGAACAGCAGGTTTGTCCCATTTCTCTTTTCCACAAACAGCATTTGCTATGACAGTCCGGTTCGGGGAGCCAGGGTCTGGCCCGTGTCCTGCCAAGTGTTTCATCTGGACGGAGCTGCATGAGAGGTTGTAAGAACAAACTGGCAGTAACCTTGTGCCTGGCAGGGCTCCCCAGGAATTAGGACAGTGTCACATGGTGTAGACTTCCATCCCAGGCCAGAGAAGAGGCTTCTCCTGCAGCTCCTGCTCCAGGACAGCTGAGTGCTCCTGGACCAGCTGATGCCCCACCGCTGCTTGCGAATTCAGAGGCATTGAGGAAACCAGAAACCAGCACTGGTCACTTTGGTGTCCAGGGCTGCAAACTGTAGTAGTCGAGCTGTCAATGAAGGCTCCTCCACAAGGCAGGGTGGCCAGAGGAGGAATCACCACAATTACCCTGAGCTAAGTCAGCCTCATTCGTGAGTCTGAGCCCTTTGCTAGACCAACTGCTGCTATCCTGGGGTGTGATGGAGGTCTGTAGACCAGCATCCCATCAGGACTGTGCAGTGATTGTTCTTAGGTGGTGGAAACCTTGGGGACATCTGAGCAGCCAAAGCAAGGCCAGGGTTTTATTGCTGGGTTGAATTTAACCTGTATCAACCTGTTATTAAACTCCACAGTGTCTGTGCCCATGCAAAAAATGAATGGGTGTCACCGCAGGAAAAATGAGGAGTGAGGGCAAAAAGTAGTTTATATTGATAAATCGATAAAAGTGCTTTGGTTTTGTTACATAAAAAAAAACCCCAAATTATTTTCCCTTCTTTGTCCAGAGTGGGTTGGGAGTGACAACGAGAGGCCAGAGGGGTGAGGTGTGCATTCTCTACCCAAGCAGACGTTATGGGTTGCCTGTCTGAGACAATACAAGACTCAAAAAGAGAATAAAAGTGGCTGTTTAATTCCTCCTATGTTAGGAACAAGTACGATACCATCTCCCCAGGCACTGGAGAGCCCTGTTACTGTGCCTCAGTCATGTGAGACCATCCTTGAGAGGCAAAATTGCTTTATGGATTTCTTCTCTTGAACTAGGAGCCCAGAAACATCTCTGAGATCAGCCCTAAATGCCTTGATATTTTCCATGGCAGCCGCCTTTGTACTTACAGTTTGGTTTCCTGGGCAATTAGGGTTGCTGCAATCACTGTCTGGCTCTACTTTTCTCCAGTAACTGCTTCCATTTCTCAACCCATGAGCCAAGCTCAGCTAAATCTGACAGAAGGGCAGTGCCTCACAGGCAGTTCCTACAGATTTCCCAAAAATAAGTAGGAGAAGAGAGAATTCATCAGTGGTCTCAGCAACACAAGAGCTTCATTGTAAATTTACCCACATTTAGAGAACAAACCTGGGAGAAACATTTTGAATGCTCTAATAACAAGGACTCCAGCCAGCACTAGCGCTGTGTGAGATCCCCAAAAGACAGATGTCAATGCACAAACAGCTAGAATCAAATGGGCAGATTTTATTTAGTTCTGGTGCTCACAGGAGTTACTCACTTCTTATCCGCAGACGGGGAAGCGATCCAGTCTTCCCAAGTTCTTTCTCAGCTACCTCCAGAAGAAGTTCGGAGACACCGCTGCCATGGAATGGTCTTACACCCTCTACGAGAACATGCGGCTCTGTCCATCCAACCACGTCCTGAGCTCATTCTACAACATACTCACCGGGAAGGTAGGCAGCCCCCGACCCACCACCACTCCTCGGCCAGACATTGTCCCTGGTGGGACAGGCAGCAGGGGGGGAAGCGTTCCCCTGCAGAGCAGCCTCACCTCCCATTCCTCCCCCTGGGCAGCTGCACCTCCTCATGAGAATAAAAGTCAACACTGACACACACGCTAGAGAAGGGAATTCTGTCCATGAAAGTCATGGCAGGCACCTATTGCTACCAACAGAGCTTCTGGAAGCTCCCATTTCTCTCAATTGTTTTGGTCACATCGTGTGTGCTCTCTCCGATGAGAGGCTTCTATTTGCATAGAACCATAGAATGGTTCGGGTTGGAAAAGACCTTAAAGAACAAACATCCAGTGCCACCCCCTGCCCTGGGCAGGGACACCTCCCACCACACCAGGTTGCTCCAAGCCCCCTCCAACCTGCCCTTGAACCCCTCCAGGGATGGGGCAGCCACAGCTCCTCTGGCCAACCTGGGCCAGGCTCTCACCACCTTCCCACCAAACAAGTTCTTCCCCACATCTCAGCTCCATCTCCCCTCTTTCAGGGTCAAACCCTTCCCCCTCCTCCTAGGGCTCCCCTCCCTCATCCAGAGTCCCTCCCCAGCTTTCCTGGAGCCCCTTGAGGGACTGGAAGGGGCTCCAAGGTCTCCCCGGAGCCTTCTCTTCTCCAGGCTGAACCCCCCAACTCTCTCAGCCCCCCCTCCCAGCAGAGGGGCTCCAGCCCTCCCAGCATCTCCGGGGCCTCCTCTGGCCCTGCTCCAACACACACATCTCTTTCTCTCAGTACGTCTTTCCTGACTCACAATCAGTCCCTGGGAAGTTTGTGAAGACCAGGACATAGTCTCTGAACTGCAGCAGGCCCTGGCAACCTTGCTCCTTGCTCCCCAGCACCATGTTGGAGCTGGAGAGCTTCAGCTACATGGCCACATCTTTCCATCTCCTGCAAAACAAAGACATGCAGCACCACCACCACCACAGGTCCTCTTATGCTTGCCCCACTCACGTCTTGCTTGGAAAGGAAAAGTGGCTGGGACCAAGTCCAACCATCCAGACAGGGAGGCCACCACCATTCTGGGGGACTCAGGGTGTGCATCTGCACCTGGGGGTTTGATGGCCACCCCCGATGTGCTGGTGGGAGCCTCTGCCCCAGGCCCTGACACTTCACCAGAAGCCATTCTCACCATCAGCAGGAAAACTGTTCTTCAGCAAGGTGTTCAACAAGAAGCCACTGTGTTGCTTGCTTAATGGTTTGTAGTCACCAAAAGCTGGTCAGGTGAAAGTTGCTTTAGAAGCGAGCACAGTCCTTTTGCAGTTTTGCCTCCCTCTTGAAGGTTGTCCAAGGGACAGACGGGGCAGTTACTCACCTGTGAACCTTCCCCGTTCCACAGGTGAGTGAAGAACAATACCACAGCCAGAATGAGCTGATTTCCAGCCTGCAAAAGGAGCTGGCAGCCTGCGACGGCTTGAACAGTGGATCCCTGACCAGCGAGGAGTTCAGGCAAGAGTCCGACAGTTGCCCTCGGGGCTCTGCCCACGTCTGGCACACGTCAGGTGTCAGGATAGGTTTGCTTATCTGCCCGCAAAAGAGAGATTTGTCTCCTTTAAACCCCCGAGCAGACAGCTGTAGTGAGTCTAAACTTGTTAACCTCTGCGTGAGGTTCAGAGTAAGGTCGGTGCTGCAGGGTTTGAGCCGTGTGGCTGGAGAGGCCCGAGGGCAGATGTGGGGCCTGGGGACAGGCTGGCAGCCCCTGTCCCGCTCCCGAGGGGACATGGGACCCTGCACAGCACTCCCCTCAGCTCCTGTGATGGGTCACCAAGCATTTCTGTGAATTTTGCTCCAGGTGCGACCTCGGTCAATCATCTCCCAGTCAATAGATAAGATATCTTCCTAAGTGATAGTCTAAATAGAGCGTTTCTTTGGGCCCTGGCGCAGAAGAGAAGCACCAGCCCCTTCCAGCATTTGGCTGGGAACATGGCTCTGGGTCAAACACACCAACCACCTGGGGCTGGGCTGCCAGACACGGCTGCTTTCAGGGCTTCCCATGAGGCTCCCCCAAGCCCTGAGCTCTGCTGGAAGCTCTGCCCTTGTTTCGGTGTCTGAAGGTGTGTGCGCTTCTCCCAGTACGTTTCCTGTGAAAGCAATGAATTTTTGAAGGTCTAACCCATGGAATACCTGCACACTCTGGTAGCCTAAAATGTTAGATGCTCACAGTGTGACAGCAAACACACTCTGCCCGTGTTGCCTGTCTCCAAACAGCACAGCCCTGGGAGAAACTTTTCCCCTGAAAAGGAAAGAGTCAATCCAAGAACTGGTGGACGCAAGCAGGTGCAAGCTGGACAGCACTGAGGACACCATCAACTACATATCCTTATTCGAAGAAGTAAGCTGATGTTACTTAAGTTTTCCTTTATGATTCAAACTAAGCCTAATTTAGGGCTTAAATTAGTTTTACCAGACTAACGAAGTTGCAGTACCCATCACAAGCTCTAACACCTGAAGGCCACCTGCAGACAACGGCAATGCAAGCCCTTTCTGTCATAGGGGTTTTACTGTATTTTACTGTATTTTTTCCTCTTTGTTTCCACTCTTCACATGGAAACTCCGTTTCCATGATAGCTGAGTTATTTTAAGACACATTAAAGGGGAAGGCCTGGAACATGCCCTCAGTGCTAAGGCACCTGCAATTCTTCCAGGATGAGGAGGGGAACACCACACCTTTTGTTGCAAAGCTCCGGAGCCAGTACATCAGGGAGAAACAGGAGTATCTGAGGCAGCTGAAGAACAAGCTGGGAGGTTTAACGTAAGTCTGGGGATAGCAGAAGAGGCCAGCACAGGCAGAGGGAACTCTATGGTGAATATTGCAGTCAATAACAGATCTGGCTGAGCCCCGCTCTGCAAAACGCTGCACAGCCTTGGTTCCTGACCCAAAGGACCTGGACATGGTGGGCAGTGAGTGGAGAACATTAATTGTACCAATAATCCCCTTCAGTACCCAAAGCCTCATGTCCCAACACTCTTCCGCTCTCCAAAACCAGCAGTAAAGTCCTGTCTATCCTCGTTGGCTGGTTCTGAGGAGTGAGAAGAGCAAACAGGACTGACAACTGCACATGTAAAGAAATAATTCCACCTCAAAGCGAGATAAAACAAGAGGCAGTTACTGCACATGAAAAAAAGTCACCAGGCAACGAGCACACCTCTGAAGGTGGGGAGATGCCCGTGAAGGTCAGTCCAAGGCAGGCACTCAATCAGCAAGGGAAAATGTAGATCTGTAACAAAGGGCATCACAGTGCACAAGAGTGCAAAACTAAGGTCCTTCCAGGTTATCACAGATCTCACAGTTCCCAACTTCTGTTCACTTTGAAACCCAGTACTTGGCAGGGTTTATTACACACATATTTGCTAAACAAGGGGTTACCAGTGGAGGCAGAGACAACAATATGGAAAGATCTCTGCTCCGCATCTCAAGCGGCGCAGAAATCAGTAAATGTTCCTTTCGTGTACCACGGCACAGAGTGACCGAGTTGTTTTTGAGCAGGGAGGTGAACGCAGATGATCTGAAGGCCGCCTTCTGCTCCATTGATCCTGACATCGATGATCAGATGCTGGAGACCTACCTTGGCCTGGCTCTCCAGGCCAGAGGAGAAGGAGCCGTGGCTGTGGAAACGGCGCTGAAGAGACTGCTGGCTGGGGACGTGAGACGAGTGGGGCCCGCAGCCAGGGAGGGGAGCACGGCCAGTTCTGAAGGAGAGTGATTCCAGTGTTAAGAATAAATGGACTGCCTGATCTTCAGGGCTTGATCTTCAGGCTTTGACGCCTGCAGGAGACTGAGTTACTGTGCTACACGCTTCTTGGCTGGAAGCGGTAGAATTGTCCCCCCTCGAGGCATTTAAAAGACGGGTAGTTGTACTCAGTGATAGGGTTAGTGACAGCTTTTGTTGGTGTTGGGTTGGTGGTTGGATTAGATGTTCTGAAAGGTCCCTCCCAACCCAGACGATTCTATGATTCTCTGACTCCCCTGCACGCAGAGACACCCCTGGTAACTAACACCCCAGAGGATGGGCTGGTGTCAACGCGCAGAAGCACTTTCAGCTCAAGCAGTAAAATGTTCTGCAGCAGCATTTCAGCTCAGCAGGACTTGCCCTGGGAGGCTTCCTGAGCCCCAAAAGCAAGGCTTCACACCCCCAGGGCACTGGGGCACCACGGCGTGCGGGGCGCTCTGCTTGGTGACAAAAGGATGCTCCAGCAGCCACTGTTAGAACCTGAGAGCCACCATCAAAATCCAGGCTGCACCGTGACTGCTTTAGTCCTTTGGCCTTGGGGTTCCTTGGCTCAAGGAGGGTTTCAAAGTCACGTTCACAAAATCAGGTGCCACCAGCACGGTCAGTGCGCACGTGGAAGGCGAGTTCAGCCAAATTTACAATCATGTCTGTCCCCAGGGAGGCTTTTGTCTCGGTGTAGACACTATTGTCCCATACGAAATCACTCTGAAAGAAATTCAAGTGCTGCCCCATGGGTAGGTTTAACCAAAGGCTGAGCTGCAAAATACACTCAGAAACACCCAAATCCGGCCTCTGTTTCAGGGAAGACACCACATGCATTTTGGTAACTGCCAACCACTGGCATCAATAAATCTTTCCCACTCGATAGTGTCCTCTCTATCCAGCACATTGTCCTCTCCAGGGATGGGAATAGGGGTTCTTCAAACAAAAAACCTGTAGGAAAACATGGCTGTACCTCAATTACCAAATAAGCAAACCTGAGAAGCAAAACCTGCTTTTTTTTCTCATAACAGTTTGAAAAACAGAAAGAAGAAGCTGAAATCAGGTCATCTTCCTAAAAACAAACAAAACCCCCAAAAAACCCATTATGTTTTATTTTTGTGAGCTTTTGCAAAAACTGATTGCATTTGATGAACTGGAAAGGCGTCATAGCCTGCGCAACACAGTCCCACCCCCTGGGATTTCTGCCTTCAACACCAACCTTGGTGCCAGGCACTGCCAACACGGATCACAAAACACCAGGAAAGGAACCATAAAAGGATTGCAAGGGGAGATACATCATCCAGCTAGAACCCACACGCCCCAACGGCAGGTGGATCTAGGAGTGTTCTGAAAGGGAAGGTGGGGGAGGTGGTTAACATGGCAAAATTCGGTGTATCTAAAAAGGACAAGGACCGCCTAGAAATTATTTGGTAGATGAATATAAATTTGCAAAGCTTGTGAAACAAAGCCCCTCATGGGGAGGTAGAGAAAGCAGCGGGCTGCAGAGAGAGCAGGAATCCCTTGTTTTCCTTCACCCTGAGGACTTTAGATGCTTAAAAGTTAACAGCTGTTTTCAGTGCTGGGTATCTCCCTATTTTGCCCTTCCAGCTACATTGGAAGGACTTGAAAAATGTGTCCATAAAAGTCTTGAATCTAGTTAACCCTGTTTCCTTGCAGGGAATATTGCAAAAAAAATGCCCTTTGTTATATTAGTGGAACTTTAGAAAAAAAAAAAAACCTGACCTTTGTCTTGGCGTTGCCCGCCAAAGAGATTTTAACTCTATTTACCATCATTTCCTCTAGTGTTGAGAAAACCTGTTTAACTTGCAAGTGGTGCTGCCAAGAGCCGGGTTTCCAGGAGCCCTTATTCCCTGCTGTTATCTACAGCCCTTTAGCTGGAAGTTTGGGACGCAGCTTACTCCAGAGACGGGATCCACGTTTCCAGCAGGATTTAGGACAGGTTTAGGGTGAGGAGAAACAACCAGAGGATGACAGACACCCTCTGTGACCATCGTGTGGCTGAGCTGCTGCAGGGAGAGCCCACACAGACTGTCCCATCCTGGGAGCATCAGGGAGGTGACAGGAGGTGACACTTGGGCTCGGCTCTGACCTGCCCCAACCAGACCCTGCTCAGCCCCGCTCGAAGCAGCAGCCTGAGCTGTCCCTCCTTCACAGACACCTGGAAATTCATCCATCATTTAAAGACTCCAGTTTAAGTCAAATTAATCAGTTTAAAGGCTCAAGGTTTTCAAGACAGAGATACTAAGAATTAGGGGGGAAAAAATAAAATCTATTAATTTTTCTCAGAAATTAAACAAGCACCTTGTCTTATCTTGGGAACTGGACTAGCTAAATAAAAAGAAACCACGTTAAAGACTGACCCCCTGGAGAGACAATGAAGAAAAACACCCAGGAGAAAAGTTTGATATCCATCTTCCATCCCTCCGAAACGTGTTTGTGCAGACGGGCCTTGTTCTTCCCTGGGTGGAGAATCATTTTACAAAGACACACTCCTTTGCACCCAAAATCCTCCGCAGCAGCTGAGCTCACTCCTGGCACAGTTGACGGTCACTGCAGGCAGTGAAATCATAGATCAGGATTTTGCTTGTCTTGTTTCCCTGCTTGAGCAACACAAGGGAGTGCGGCGTGGACCAGCAGCTGCCAGTACAGAGCAGTGGATGGAAGGCTCAGCAGCTCCCCTCCCCACCTGGGAAAGGGAAATTGGCAAAAACAAGGAAGCCCAAAGGTTGAAATATAAACTGGTTTATAGAATACTATGGTATTTGAGAAATTCTATAACAATTACTTGTCATTTAGACAGTTATTCCATCACCTGATGACCCCTATCCACCCAGGAAGGGGACTCAGGGAAAAACAAGGAAACACTCCACCTGGGTAGGGGACTCGGGGAAAAACAAGGAAACACAAGGCTTGAAATATAGATTTAAAAGGATCAGACTAAATAATTAACAATAATACTTAAGAACCAGCATTGATCCTGATACCAGTATAAAACACAGGAGTGTCCCCATCCCGTTCCACCCCAGGGAGCCGTGCTCTCCCCGCAGGGACAGCCCATGTGGGACACTGCCAGCGGGAGGAAGGGAAGGGCTCAGGGCAAGGACTTCTCAGGGGGGCAGCCATCAAGGGACAGAGAGAGAGATAAACTCCTGGGCAAACTTTCTAATTTATACCGAATGTGATGTTCATGGTATGAAATAACCCCGTTGGCAGCTTGGGCCAAGTGCCCGGGTCTCGCTCCTCCTCGTCCCCGCACCCGGGGAGCTCAAAATCACCCAGACCTTGAGACCTGCACCCAGAGCTGGCTGTGAAGGGAATATTGTCACCAATTCAGACACCAGAGTCTTCTAAAAGTGCAGTTTTCCCAAGCATTAGAAAATCAATTAGTCCGAGAAATTAATCCCATGTCGCTCAAACCAGAACAATTGCTAATTAAAAATACAGTAGGATGGTGAGAAACAAAGACAAAATTTAAAATATCTTCCCCCCCTCCCCTCCTTCTTCCCAGGCTCAATTATCTCCTTCCCACCAAGCAGCCAGAGGGGATGTGCAACTTTGGGTTCAGTGAGTCCATAACTTTGTCTCTGATGCTCCTTCCTCACACTCTTCCCCCTTCTCCATGGTGGGTTCCTCGATGGGACACAATCCTTCAAGAACCTGCTCCTGCTTGGGCTCCTCTCCACAGGCTGCAGCTTCCTGCAGGGCGTGTCTACCCGCCACGGTGTGGGTTCTTCTGTGGTCCGCAGAGGGGACATCTGCTCCACCGAGAAACAAAGACAAAACTTAAAATATCTTCCCCCCCCTCCCCTCCTTCTTCCCAGGCTCAATTATCTCCTTCCCACCAAGCAGCCAGAGGGGATGTGCAACTTTGGGTTCAGTGAGTCCATAACTTTGTCTCTGATGCTCCTTCCTCACACTCTTCCCCCTTCTCCATGGTGGGTTCCTCGATGGGACACAATCCTTCAAGAACCTGCTCCTGCTTGGGCTCCTCTCCACAGGCTGCAGCTTCCTGCAGGGCGTGTCTACCCGCCACGGTGTGGGTTCTTCTGTGGTCCGCAGAGGGGACATCTGCTCCACCGTGGTCCCCTGTGGGCCACAGGGGGGATATCTGCTCCACCGTGGTCCTCCTCAGGGGGACATCTGCTCCACCATGGCCCTCTGTGGGCCACAGGGGGGATATCTGCTCCACCGTGGTCCTCCTCAGGCTGCAGTGGGACAACCTGCTTTCCCCGTGGTCTTCTCCACGGGCTGCAGGGGAGTCCCAGCAGCAGTGCCTCCTTCTCCACTGACCTTGGTGTCTGCAGGGTTGTTTCTCTCGCACTTTTCTCCTTACTCCTCCCCTTCCACAGCTGCTGTGTGCTGGTTTTAGCCCTTCTTGAACACATCGTCACTGAGGTGCCACCAGTGACGCTGCTGGGCTCAGCTTTGGCCAGTGGTGGGTCTGATCTGGAGCTGACTGGAACTGGCTCTGTCCCACCTGGGGACCAAGGGCCACTCCTGTGGCTGCCCCCCATCCCACTGCCAAAGCCGTGCCACGGAATTAACACAATTAACTCCTCTGAACCAGTCTCTACTGCTCTACCTACCATGTGTGCACCAGAGAACTTCATCTCTCTAATCACCTTGAAGTGTCACTTGCTAATTCCCCGACAGATTTAGTTTAAATATATATAAAGTAAGTATAAAGTATATCGTCCCGTTTCAATTCACAGCAGCAAACAGCTGTGGCAGCAGACGGATTGGCACCTACTCTTGACCCAACGACCAGATGAGACTTGCAAAGAGGGGCGAGACCCCAAGCTTTCAAACTAGAAAATCTAGAAAAATCACAGAGTTTAACAAAGCCCTGCTTCTTCCTGGAAGGTGGTACGGACCTTCCCCCTTCTCTTCTAACAGCTGGGCAGTATGAAGAGCGTCGAGTCAGCTAAATGTCTCTGAGGAACATTCTGAACGGCGCAGAGTAGCCTCCCAGAACACAGGAATAAGCAGCATTTTTCCATCATGCAAAATACATCTATTTTATTTATCAGAGCTGTACAGGTATCCAAAGGTAGCATAAAAAATTCAAGATAGTGAGATTACTTGGAATAATAGTTGGTGACATTGAGCAGGCTGGCGTGAGAGCCACAACCTGCACCAGTTCAAGAGAAGGTCGACTCTTAATTGCCCCGCTCGTTACTGGTGGAAAACTGTCCCAGGGTGACGTGACACGGAGGAGCCCAGAGCCAGCTCTGCGAGCCACCACCCTCTGCCCACAGGGGAAGTGTCACTTGCAGGGGATCACTTTATTTCCACTCATGGCAACGGGAATCAGGACTTTCCTGTACTCCAAAGGCAGGTAACGCTCGATCAGCACACGCAGCGGCATCTTGTCCGTCACCAGCCCTTGTCTTTGGGAGGGGAGGGAAGAGGAAGGGAGAGGAAGATGGAATTTTTAGTGAAAAACGTTTCCATTCAAACTTACTATCAGAGTAAAGTTTTTGAAGTTTTCTTGCAGTGACATTTTTGCATTTAATAGCTGAAACGCCGTGGCTGCTTGTGACCGAGAAGCTACAGATGTCTATTTGCAGGCAGCAAATAGAAGGGATAAATGTCTACTGTTTGAAGCCACGCACAGGACAATGCAACAGAAGCAAAGACCTCATTACCCAGCAGATTTTTTACATTCACAATTCAGAGGTGGTTGGTGGTGTCACACCGCACAGGGCAGCTAGTTTTCTAGCACACCATTTAGGTGATTGCTTGAAAAAATATCAATATCATCTTGCAGAAACAACAACAACAACAAAAAAAATCAGCATTAATTCATGCTTTCTTTGTGGAAGCAACAGAAATACTGTTGTTATTCATGAACCAGACAACAACTTCTGGTCCCTTTATGAGGCAGCAGAAAGGCATAAAGATATGTAGAAAAAGGTAAGATAACAAGAGCACAGAACCCTCAATTTGGCCATGAAGCCATCCCACCTCTCAGCCTGTTCATACTGATTTCAGCACACGCCTATCAGGTGGAAAATTACAATCTCCAGTCCTGGGCAGCAACAGATCATTCTTTTTAAGCAGCAGCCCCAGCTCCATCTACACAGGCCCATGCAGAGCCAATGCCTTTGGTCAGATCACAGAATCTTCTAGGTTGGAAGGGACCTCAAAGATCATCTTGTCCAACCATCAACCTAACTGACAAAAATAGACACCCCCACAACAAACAAGAAGCATCACCATCACTAACCCATACCTCCCAGCACTGCATCAACCTGTCTTTTGAACACCTCCAGGGATGGGGCCTCAACCACCTCCCTGGGCAGCCCATTCCAATGGCTGATGCGCCCGCAAAGCCCCTCAGATGACTTCAACATCACATCTGAGACTCCTCCAGTGGAAATGAGGAATCACAACTTGGAGCAATGACTTTAAGTGATGAATTTGCTTCCGGCCTCACAGAGGTGTACAGAGGGCTCCCGAGCCAAGAACCAACCCCTCGTCTTCTGGTCACAGGACAAAGTAAAACACGGCATGAGACGGGGGAGCTGAAGGAGCCCACAGGAAGGGACAGCAGTGGAGAGGCTCTGAGAGCAGCTTGCTGGCCTCTGGTCTGCTTGCCCCTCTGTGGGGTCCCAAAGCAGGAGCACGAAGCATAACACTTCGTTAGGAGAGGCCAGTCCTAGATGGCCAAGCTGGAGCTCACTTCCTGGGCTGGAGAGGAACTTTCAGTTTGAACCCAAAGTAGTGGCTTTTGCTGAGGCACCCTCCCTGAAAGGAGGGTGTAGCCAGGGGGGGAGTCGGTCTCTTCTCCCAAGGAACATGCAATAGGACAAGAGGAAATAGCCTCAAGTTGCACCAGGGGAGGTTTAGGATGGATGTTGGGAAAATCTCTTCACCAAAAGGGTTGTCAAACCTTGGAACAGGCTGCCCAGGGAAGCAGTGGAGTCGCCATCCCTGGAGGTATTTAAAAGCCGGGCAGACGTGGTGCTGAGGGACATGGGTCAGTGGTGGGTTTGGCAGTGCTGGGTTAACGGTTGGACTCAACAACCTTAAGGGTCTTTTCCAGCATAAACAGTTCTGTGATTCTATGATTTTGTTTGGAAAAGTCATCAGAACAGACAGCCGGCCACGTGGAAATGCTCACGCCACTTCAGCTGCAAGTCCTTTTTGCAAAGAGGTGGCTGAGGGACACCAACGGTGCAGCTCAGCCTGGCCCTGGCTCTTACTCTGCCGCTTCTGCCGACACCATTCATTTTCCAGTCACAAACCCTTCACCCTCACACACACCCCCCGCCTCTTCCTACTTGCTCCTCAGACAACCCCTGCTCTCCCAACCCCTCACTACTTCCTCTTGCCCCTCCATCACTGTCACTATGAAGCCCACGCCCACGAGTGCCCTCCTGGCCAAGTGGCATCTCACAGAGTAAATCACACGGTACCACACCAACTGTGGGAACACGTTCTGTGAGTGAACACCCTGGCGAGGACAGTCTTACCGGGGTATCAAAGCCCCCCCCAAACACTACTATGGGTTAATAACAACCCTCCCTCCTTTTACCTTCTCATGAGGACTTCCAGGTCAGCCATCTCCACCGTCTTCCTCCTGGCGTGGGTGGTGTAAGCCTCCAGATCGCTGCTCAGCTGCTTGAAGTATCTCTCTGAGCTGCAGGAGGGTTGAGGAGGGAAATAAAGTCAGGCTGCAGAGTGTGTGAACACCAGCCCTTCACCTCTGGAGGGCAAGTGGCACTGGAGCTGCTGGCTGCAGTGGGGGAAGGAACACTCTGGAGCTCATGGAGAGAGCTAATGATGTCAGTGTGAAATGAGCTAGAGCAGGTTGTGAATGGTTTGTACTGGTTGGGACAAACGCCAGAAGCTCCTGCAAAGCAGCGATGGTCACAGATACCCTCATAGAAGCCAAAAGCACCTAGTACATTGTTGTCCTTGTTCTAATTAGGCCTCCTGTGACTCTCCCCAGCTGCCAGCAGCACTCCAGACAGGTTTGTGATCTCCGGATAGAAAAAAAAAGAAAAAGACTAAAAAGAGTGGGAGAAGGAGCAGTTTGCCATCACTCACCATTTTTCAACAATTTTGAACGCATCTCTGGCCACTGGCATTTTCACATAATGGCTAAATATCTTCTTTATCAAACTACTTGCCACTGCAGGCTCACGTGTTTTCCTCCGTGATGCTCCCGAGCTCTTTGGAACAGGCTTAGCCTGCAGCGGAGACCTTTGGGGGACAGCGAAAACTCACACATCAAATGAACCAACCCCGGGGGAGAGGCAGAGAACACGGATGAGTTTGGAGAGGGGGAAAGATTCAGAGGGGGAAGAACCGCCTCAAACTCTTAATTCTGTCTCCCTCCCAATTCTTCAAAACCCTCATGCCCACAAAATAGTTTTGCAAACAGTTCAGACGGCATCATGACCTCGGGAGAAGCGATCCAGGTTCAAGGTTCCTGAGATAAGCAGGCAGCGTAACAGACAGTCAGCAAACTATAGATCCCTCCAACCCATAGATGCAATTTCACTGCATCCCTGAAACAGTCACTCTCCAGGAGCACACAAAGTCTGTGGCACCCACAGGTCACCTCTGTGCCCCCAGACACTTTACAGTGGGGCTTTTGCGGGCTTTGTTGTTTGCTCAGTTGGTTGGGTTTTTTGGTGGGCTGTCATGTTGGTTTTGTTTTCTTAAACAAGACTGTAAGTCTCAAAGGAAACTACTACTGGTTTCCATTCTAAAGAGCAAAACTTGTAACATGAAAAGGGGAAGTGAAATCCCCGGATTCACTCAGTAGGGAAAGCAACAGAACAGACCTGGAACCTCAGGCCAACACATGCAGCACCCAGAGAGACAATGCATGTGTCATCTGATTCCCTCTCCAGTCCACCTGCATGTTCCTGGGAGAACCTCAGAGGCAACAGGAAGAGCTCAGCCCCAGAGATGAAATAAGTGTCATAGTGAGACAAAAAAACCCCAGTCATTATTTAAGTCATCTTGGTGACTGTTTCTGTGCCTTTGTGAATGATTCAATGTGACCGTTTGGTTCATGGGATAAGAGAAAAATTGAAGTTTAGTGACTGAATGAGACTGGTGTTTCTAAACAAAACGTTCTCTTGCCCTAATCTGGTGCAGTTGATCAGAGTAGAATTGTGCCACTATAAAGAGATTATTTTATAGCCTTAACCATGGCACTTGCAACTACACAGCCCAGAGTACTCCTCAAGCTTTTAGCCCCAGCATCGCTATCTCGGGAAGCAAGCAGGCCAACTCAGAGCCAGATGGTGTTCCATAAAGTGCAAACAAACCCTGCACTTTCTGTGCAACAGCTTCCTGTAATCGAGGCTCTGAACCTGAAATTACAATCATCTGTTATCTCAGCACAGCCTGAAAGTCTGAAGAATCTTCCAGTCTACTAATGTCCAGAAATTCCTATAAAGAACATGCATCCAAATATGTGGAATTCTTTTGCCAATGAGGACTAGCACACCCTACAGAAGAATCAGTATTCAGACATTCCATATATATATATATAATAAGAGCACATCCCAGCGCTCTTATCATGAGCAAAATCATGAAGCAAATCTGCATTCATTCAGTTCTACATCAGCAGAGTATCAAAGATTCCTTTTTCTATTTTATAAATATATTTTACTATTTGGGATCAGAGCAATCATCTGGCACCTTCTGTAAGCATCATTCATCTCTGTTCACAGCAGTAAAGGGCACAAGAATTTGGTTTTATTGTTTATTGCTTCAATAAACAAATATCTAGTCACAGGCTAGAAACCTCCTCCTGCTCCCTGGGACCACTGCTAGTGGTCCTGATGAAGCATATGGCTTCACCAAATTTCTAGTTAAGAGGGTGACAAATGTTAATTATTTTGGAGTAATGCAGAAGGTGGGTTCCCTTTCTGCCTCTAGGTGAGCTTCATTTTATACTCAGCACATAGCAACCGCAAGCAGCTTTAGGCTTCTAACCCCAACACAAATATGTCATTTCATGGGATCAGTGTAACATAATCTGTAATTCCTCCTCTTCTGCCAGGGCCCCTGCACCCCGTACCAGAGTCTATGGCTCCAGGGTAGCCTACTAGTTGAAAAACTCCTAAAAAAAGGCCTTCAGCATATGAAAATATTAACTGAATGTTCATTGGAAGGACTTGAGGCATCAGATCTGCTCTGGGAGAGGACTGACAATCACTTGATAGCACTCTATATTCAGCTGCTAAAGCAGTGAACAACTAAAGATTCAGGACTGCTTACTCCCTGCTGGAGCTGGGAGAGCACAACACAACTGCCAAAGCTGGGCTCGGCTCCTGCCCCTGGTGCTTACACCCCCCAGACACACGGGCCACTGCTGCAGGTGGCTTAGACCCACCTGGGAGCAGCGGATTTTGCAGGACGTGGAGTCGACAACTTGGGAGCAGGAGGTTTTGCAACGTGTGGAGTGGACAGCAGAGGCTTGTAGGCTGCAGCACGGGCAAACACGGGCGTCTTCGTGGAAACCTCTACCAAAAAAAAATAAGTATTTGAGGAACAGAACACTATTTTTGGAGCTCCTGCAGCAAGCAGTGCTGCAGCAGCAGAGAGAAGCCCAGTGCTGGACCAGCAGGCTGGCCAGGGTGCAGGAACACATGCTCAGGGCCAGGCTGCAGTGGCTGAGGGCTGGGCCAATTTAGGCTGCCGAGAAGCTGCAGCTTTAAAGAGAGAACTTCCAAGTCTACAAGCTACCGCCGCTAAATCAGTAACAGCCAACAAAAAAATCTCATTACAAGGGTCAGCCCGTGAGCATCACCCACCGAGCAGACTGATGAGGTGTCTGAAGAACTGTTTAGAATCAGACACTTCCAAATAAGCTGTCTGGAAAGGCAGCCTACTCCTTTGGTTAATTGGAAAGGAAACCTGTAACTACAGGTACAAAATACAGGGTTCTAAATTAGGATTTAAGTCTGGAGTCCCGTAAACGGCTGTGGAAACAGCAGTTCAATGCCAAGGTATTAACAAGCCAGCATGAAGTTCGGAGTCAGGAAGGAAGAATAAACTGGAGAATAACCCCATGTCACTGTAGAAAACCCCTCTGCACTTCTCCTCAAGAAGTACGTAACAATCCAGGTCCCTGAATGACCCAGTAACAATCTGGTCCTGGGAAGGGCAGCCAATAGCTTCCCCTGGACTACCAGATGGACTGAACAATCAATCACATTATTAACCTTGTTGTTCCTCAATCTTTCAGGAGATAACAGGGAAAAATTTCTCCACCTGCCTTCTGCTGCTGCTGCAATAGTTTTCTTACCTTCGCTCTCAGGGTCTTCAGCTTCATCCTCAGTTGGCTCTTCTTCTGGACCATCCAATTCTAGTGTAATAGCCTGGTCCTTTAATTCATCTGCTTGGTCATCTGCTTGTTCAATAGCTTCCTCTAATGGCTTCAGCCCAGATTTTTCAGAGGAAAATGCATGAGAACGCCTGCCCACACTTCCAGCTTCAACACCTTTGGCAATTTCACGATCTAAGAGTTCCAAAACAGGAATCCAAAACATAAATCACTGGAACAAGCATCATAGCCAAAATTTCAGAGCACTCACAAGAATTAAACCCAACTTTCCATTCTTGATAATGTTGCCACCTATTATATTTCTGTCTTTGAGCATTAGGGTGTCAATACACTAAGATAGATAAGCTAAAGCACTAAATCCTCAGCTTTTCCCTCTGCTACATCTAGGTGCGCAGAAGTCACCCAAAAAACCCAGCACTTGATAATATGGAGAGTTGAGTCAAATTTTTAGTCTGAGTTCCTTTTAAATGAACTTCCTTTAATAAGAACTTTTATCTCAAAAGAAGTCTTAACAATGCCTCAGTGCAGCACGTTGAACACAGAAGACCCAGCAATTCAGGCAAAAAAGTAACTTGGGAGATTCTGATCTGCCAACACACTCAGGTGGTCTCCAAGTTTTATCAATCTTTGCCTAACTCTAGAACTCCTCCTAGTACCTTTTAATTAAGCTTCCCACAATTATGTATTTCGAAGCAGTATTGTCAACATAATTTTGTTTTCCATTTGAGCAGAATGCATTCTTTCAACTTAAAATGTCAAAATTAGTTTTCTATTTTCCCAGGATTTAGCCCAGATTCCAGAATGCACAGAGCTAACAAGTCTCTCTCCCAGCTCCAGTGCCAGTGCAGCTGGAGAGGTGTCTGGTGTTAGACAGGCTTCTGTACTAGAGGTTGTCCTCACCAGCGTCAGGAGAGCCCTGGTGTTCAACACCACCTTCTGCGATTCCCTCTTCTGCTGAAGGGGCCATTTCTGCTTCGGCTCTGGCATCCTCTGCTGCAGTTATCTCCAATTCTGCTTTTTTGCTCGGTTTCTTCTCCAAATGTTCAGAATAGCCAGAATTTGCATGATGTTGTGGAGCTAAAACAGAAAATTCTACCATCAGTCTTACCTACAATACCACCCCCAAGCATACAGTTTAACAACTGCTAAAATGTACACGGTAAGTGAACTCAGCAATAGCCATAAATACGGGAAGCAGATGCAGTTCCCTTCCAAAAATTTACAGCTGAAAAACACACAACTTTTCCAGGGTTTGCTCTACAGCCACCTACTTAGGTTGTGTGTCAGAGCCCAGTGAAGGAATTCAACTTACCAGTAAGCAGAGCTCCTCGAGATCTGCCATCTCTAGGTCTGTTCTCACTTTTGGTGATAGTGTGAAAGACCAATTTGTTTTCCTTTAAGTCTAACAATACACAGAGTTTATGTTCGGGTTCCCCTCCCCATTTCTGCAGTTCTTCTAAATAAACAATTCTGGAAGAGATACATTGACTACAAAGAGGTGAGAGCCCAGCAGTGGGGTTTTAACCATTGTGGAGAAGGCTCTAGCAGGCAGGATGAGGAGAAATAAGTGAAGACGATTTGCACATCTTTAAAAACTTCAGCTGCTGAAGTAGCTACTGAAATACCCCTTTGCCCTACATACTACATCTACAGTCCATGTGTCTGGTTCCACGAAGCTCAGAAATCCACGTGGGTAATTATTTAGAGAAATCTTACTGGGAACTCTCATAGTACTGTCACTTGATGAAGGGTTTGGGAATCATGACAGAGCCCAGAACTAGGAGCTGTGAAAGTTGATTTTTACCATCCTCTCCAGTGACGGGGAGTTTTTGCACTCAAGAGTACAAGTGTCAAAGCCCTGGGAGCCCCAAGCTCCAGTGAAGGGGACAAGAAAATTTGGCCAAAGGTGGTGCAAAACCAGTAATACCAATCTCACTAACCAGAACATGGGGCTCCCTACACCAATGCAGGGCACAATCTTCCCTAAAGTTAAGCGAAATGATAGGACAAGGCGAAACGGTTTTAAATTGGAAGAAAAAAGATTCAGATTAGATCTCAGGAAGAAATTTTTTACTATGAGGGTGGTGAGACACTGGAACAGGTTGCCCAGGGAAGCTGTGGCTGCCCCATCCCTGGAAGTGTTCAAGGCCAGGCTGGATGGGGCTTGGAGCAACCTGCTCTAGTGGGAGGTGTCCCTGCCCAGGGCAGGGGGGTTGGAACTAGATGATCTTTGAGGTCCCTTCCAACCCAAACCATTCTATGACTCTATGATTCTATGAAATATTAACTAGCTTTGTGGGAAGACAAAAGCTCAACTCGACACTAAGACTGCTGGAGGCAGACAGGCACCAGGGATTCTCCCACTGGATTCCTGATGGGATACGGTACTTTAACAGCGGAATACCAGATGCTATTGACACTTTCAAATCTTAATTTGTACTGATTTCTTCACTTGTTGCTCATAGCAACACCTCCTGTAGTTTGGGATAACCTACCACTGTCAGCACTTGCTCCTCTCTGGTCCCTGCACTGGCAGATGAGGGAGCTGTTTGTTTCCATGTGTTTGCTGAACCCTCTCCTCCAGGCTGCTCAAGGCTTTTACCTCCTTACATTTCACTCCCATTGTCTTTTTTACAGACTGAGCAGTCCTTATCTTTAGTCACTCAACGTACAGAAACTGCTCCACATATTTTATTATTGTTAATGGTAAAACTGTTCTTCTCTACACCTTCCCTAGTTCTAGTTCTGCTGGAGATGGAGAGGTCAGAACCACACACGGTATTCAAAGGGTGAGCACGACAGTCATTTCTGTAGTGGCACAGTGACATTTTGTCATCTCTTCCTTTCATAATAATTTTTACCCATTATTTGCTTTTCTGACCACCCCCCAAGCTTTGAGCCGATGTTCACAGGATTCTAACAATTCCGAGGTGACTTATCAGCCTCAGGAGTCACATCCCATTTACACTTCACACAATAAAACTGTAATAGGACAGAAGACTCACAAAAGGTCACAGGATGCCCACCTTACACAACCCTAAACTGAGAGATGCTGAGTATCTGCTTCCTTCATGAACCACTCTAAAAGAACTGCTTAAAACAGAAGGCTGTATTATCATGATAAAAAGGCAACATAACTAATTTTACTGATACACTTGGTATATGCAAGCAATTACTTATGGGCACAGCAAGTATTCAGTTTAAAATTCTAAGAAAAAAAACTGTTAGTGCTTTCGACTGTTCAGTTTCCATACTGCCATAAGGTAATTCATACGAAACTTTTGACCCAATTAAGCCTAAGAAAAGCCAAACCTGCATGGCAACGGTCTTCTCTTATTCCCAGACACTTTCAAAGGAACAATGGGAATGCCTTAAAAAGGATCCTAAACTTTGAGTCCGGGAAACAAAATTTAACACAACACAGGAATTTGTGTCCACACCTACCCAAAGCTTTATGTAATGATCAGATAATACCTGCCACCCTCAGCATAGTTTTTACCATCTTATTCTAAGGCAAAGTATTTCAAAGGAAACTGAGAAATACTTGTGAAAGCAGGCAACTTGCATGACCTGCTTTCTTCCAGGGACAAGGAGATATTAGGGCCCAACCCGCTAGTGACAATCTTTATTACTTAAGGGAGGGCAACTTTCAAGCCCTTGTCTTAAGGGAAAAAGATGCTGGTTAGTACTGGAAAAAGATAGTTGCCAACATGGCTTAAAGAAACATAGGAAAGCATTAAAATGTATAGAAACAAAAAGAATGATTACCCAGGTGTATTCCTTGCCAGGAGGGAGTTAATTCATCTCTGCTCTGGGAGGACGAGCAGTTCTACAGACCTACCAACAAGATACCAACCTTTGCGCCATCTGCAGTCACCGTGAACAAAGCAAATGCTGACAAGCACACGGGAACATCACTGCTTGCTTTTAGAAGGCCTGTCTGGAAATGCTCACAGTGTCTCTGATGTGACTTGAATTAAATGATCTCCAGCATTTCCTGTGCAATAAACTCCTATTTTACTCTGCAAGTCACCTGAACAACTCTTGGTTTTAATCAGATTAAAGTACTCTATTCCCTTCCAACATTGAAAGCACTTCTTACCCTCTCTGAGAATCTGCTCCTGTTCCACTCTGTTCACTGCATTAGCCATCTCCTCTTCTGCATCACTTACATCTAGGGCTTCAATTACATGGGACACAAGCTCTCTCAAAGACTTGCGGAAAGATCTCTTAGGCTTTAGAGGGACTGGGGATCCCAAATATGGACTCAAACTTCTGGATGGCAAAGAGGAGCTCCATTTATTAAGAGCTAGAAATTGAGAACATTCATTTTTAAACTTTCTTTTAGCTTTCCTGATAAATAACCCACCAAGCAGAGAGGAATAAACACAAGAAAACACTCATGCTTTACTTGAGACAGTTTAGGGAATTCACATTCTATCTTTGGAATCGGTTGGAAAAGTCCTTGCCAACTATTTTTCAGTTCACAGGGCGTTGACATCAGTTACCCTTGGTACAACAGCAGAACTCTGTAACCATTAACTTCTGACATTAATGCCTTACAAACTCCAGCACCTTTAAGATATGCTGTCATTGCCTCTCCTCTACAGCTTCTGTGTCCTCCACGCTTTTCTCAACGTTATCCATTTGCCCTAGAAGTGCCATTGGCCTCTTCAGAGCAACCATCTGCTGCTATCTCTTACCTGGTCCTTTCAAAACAACTTTTCCCACCAAGGTGGCTACAGACGACCCTCCAGAAGCACAGCATGGCACAACAGTCCACCAGGAATGAATTAATTTCTAAGCTTTCCACGGCAAGAACTCCTCTCCTGGCTTGAGCACTACTGAATACAACAACTGTTCTTCAAATACCATTTCTGTGGCCCTTTTGACAAAGGATCATAAAATAACCTGAACAAAAAAGAAACATTAGCTATCCATACGTATGGAAAGCACGGGGAGTTTTGACTGAAGCTATTTACCACAGCAGATCCTGTCCAGGCAGCTGGCCCAGGGTCACTAAGCAGCAAATTTCAGGGTTACAACTATGCCTTGGGGCCTGGTCTATGCAATGAGGAAAATGTGCTCCCATTTATCCAGCCAGAAGGTATTTACAGGGAAATGAGTGCAGGAGAGAGACACCAGACACCAGGGAGAAACTGGGAAGTGACAGGGTGTGCAAAACGTTAGTACAGTGTGACCAGAGAGGTGATTACCTCTGTCCAATGGATTTTTAAGGCCCTGGGGGCAGCAAAGAAGTTATTTTCTACATATAAACAACATTACCGGGATAAAGATCTAGACTAGTAACCTCCTGAGACTCCTTCTAACTCTGCCTACAATTCCTACATGTTATCTCCTCATCTCACCATATTTGTGTCCACTTCTGGGCTCCCCAGTACAAAAGAAAGATGGACATACTGGAGATAGTCCAGCAAAGGGCCACCAAATAAAGGACGGTAGCATCTCTCCAAGGAGGAAAGGCCGAAAGAGCTGGGATTGTTCAGCCTGAAGAAGAGAAGGCTCAGGGGGAATCTTTCCAATGAACACAAGTATCTGTAGGGAGGGTGCAAAGCAGATGGAGCCAGGCTCTCCTCAGTGGTGCCCAGTGCCAGCACAAGAGGCAACAGGCACAGACTGGAACACAGGAGGCTCTGCCTGAACATAAGGAAGCACTTTTTGACTGTGAGGGTGACTGAGCCCTGGAACAGGTTGCCCAGAAGTTGCATGGAGACATGTAAAAGCCACCTGGACACAGCCCTGGGCAACCTGCTCTAGGTGGTTCTGCTCGAGCAGAGGGGCTGGAGGAGATGGTCTCCAGGTGTTCCTTCCTACCTCAACCATTCTGTGATTTCAGATAATACCCGCTAAGCCCCAAGTCCTAATCCACAGTACTCACAGCCAACCACCACCTCTTCTGAACCAGAAAGCTGTTCCATCAGGTTACTCTGCTGGGAATGACCTTGCTTCTCTTCTTGCTGGTGTGCGGGTGGTTCTGGAGATACAGGACTCATTCTGCCAATGTGCTCACGATCAAGGATTAAGTCCTCGGAATATCTTTGCGTTCTTCCCTTCTTTGTGCCCACACTGGACACCAGGCCCTCCAGCCTCTCTTCCTCTGGAGCTGCAGCAGAAATCTTGCTTCTCTGTGCTGCAGTTTTGGAATCTGACAGCTGTGGTTCGAGAGCAGAAAGCTTGTTTTGGCTCTGTTCATCCAACTGAGGCTGAACAAAGAGCTCCGTGTTACTCAGCATGATTTCCGCATCGCTTGCCAGCAGGGCTGTTTGAATCCCAGACACTGCTTGCGAGTCCACAAGATAGTCCTGTGCTGCTTAGAGAAAAGTTTTAAAACAAGTTTTATGTGAAAAACTGTTCAAGGTCATAGGGGCACACACTTATGAGCAGGACTTGTATAATTCAAAATTTAAGTTATTAAACCAAATTTTATTCATCCTCCACAGATCAAACACTGTATCACCACACTGCAGTACCCTCACTTTGGGTAAGACCGACAGCCTTTCTTGGCAGCACCCACAGTTACGAATATACCCCAGTGATTCCTGGGGTATAAATCACCAAACTGGGTGAAACGGATATTTAAGCAGACAGAATCAAATGAATTACAGGTGCAGAGCCTCACCCTAATCCTGTCTCTCAGAATCAGAGAGATAACAGACACCAGGGAGAAACTGGCAAGTCTGTGAACATTCTACTAGCCTTGAAATTGTAAAATACAGACCACACTTCAGCAACTGCTTCCAAAAGCCACCTTATACAAGGCCCTTCCTCCCAAAAGAGAAGTAACAACGCAAAAGAAACCTTTTCTCTTCAGCATGTTCTGTTCCACTCCCCCTTCAAAGGCTTCCATGTCAATAGCTTTGCGATATTTTGGCCTGCGGAGTAAGCCTCTCTTTTCAACAGTGTCTGGTGGGATCAAGGAACCAAGAGAAACGCGAAGAGATCTGTAAAAAGAGGAGGGAAGAGATGATTTTCCAAACTTACACACCCTCCTTTTACTCTCAGATTACAAACACGGTGCCACTAACAGTGAGATATTTAAGAAATCCCTCAGCTAGGAGGAATTTCCCCCCAAAAAACTTGAAGATCACATGCCTGTCCAGTGTAAACAAATTGTCTAATTTCATGATATCACCTGGTATCGGGACGCATATCACAGAGATCAGGAAACAGACTGTTTAACAGCCTTCTACCTTGAGAAGGCTGTGACAATATACCCAAAATAAGGTTCAGGAATTTTAAACATTTTGAGTAACAAAAAAGAAAAGGAAAACCAATCAAAATACAACCCCCAATCAAAAAGTGGATTCAGAGGATTCTAACATAGGAAATACAGAATGCAGCCCTTTGAATCACCTGCATGAGACCACAGGCAAGGGCTGCAGATAGAAGGGTGAAATAAATTGCTAGCCATGGCTGGGAGCATTAGCAAAATACACGGGCAGCACAGGAAATGATGTTCCTTGACTTGCTAAAAGTCCAGCAAAGTTGGACTAGAGGCTGCATAGATGCAACTGATGTGATGAGTCAATTAACAGGCAGGGATAATATTCTAAGGTATATTGTGTACTGATTTACTGTTGGAAACATGAGAATGAAAGGAAAAAAGGAACAATCCTAATAAGTAAAAAGAGGAGCAATAATAGTGATACAAGCTAGACCAACCCGAGCACACAGCGCAGAGCTACTACCATTTCTGAAAATCACAAGGTATTTAGCGTAACAGCTTCAAATTCCATCACCAGAGTGTGAGATAACTGGTCATTTCTAACACAGGTCTTATCAGCTATCTCTACTGTTCTTCACAACTACTGAGGTGATGAATCAAGACATTTGAGTTTAAACTCACCGAGCCAAAGCAGTGCTGTCCAATGCTGACTGAGCTAGGGAAAAAAATTGTGACATGTTAGTTGGGAAATGATGCTAGCGGAGAAATTCCTCTCTACACAACAGGCTACAGGAACACCCCAGTGGATATTCCTTTCTAGAGCCAGTTACACCACAGCCCTCGAAAGTTACATTTTGGTGAGAACAGAATTAGATGGCAGGTTCACCTTCCAATTTCTTGTCTGCATTTCAGACAGAACTGCGTATTAGAATTCTAACATGCAATTTCTGAAAGGGTAATAAAACAGTTATTTCATAGATTACGTAATATAGAACATGCCCTCACACTCGATAATATTAATCATGCCACGTTAACAGCAAGATGGTAGGCTTGGGCCTCAGTCACAACCACCTTTCAGCAACCCAAACCAAACATTGAAGTATCTGGAAGCTTTAGAAGTACAAATAACTGCTCCACAGATCACTGGTGAAGCTGTAACTCAATCCTCTTCTACTGGCAAAGTCCTCAAAATCCAAAAGCAGATCTGGAGAGCAGCGACATAATCATGCTCCTACTGGAAAATACTACAGCATGCCCCCTCTGCTTTTACAGAGCTGCCCACAACTCAGCAGAGCATGTTCAGACCAGGTGTCAGGCTGAAGAAAAATAAGTTGTTTTTTTGACCAGAGGCAAATCAGGCTGGGACACAGCTCCAGATTAAAATACCCAGACACAGGTGTCGATATTCCCATTACAGTCAAGCAAAATTGATCAGATGTAGGTGTCTACTTTAGGATGAGCTGAATCCCTCTCCAGACTCCACTGAGTACATCTCCATGAAACTTTAGGGGGACTTCAGCTATCTGGTGTGCACAAAGGTAACTCGGAGCTGAGCTACAAGTGTCTGCAATTTGGAGCTGAATCCCACCCTTGAATTCTACTCCAGTTGCTACTACCAACAGGGTATGGAAAACAAGGTGAGGTGTTTTATCTGCCTCTGTTAAACTGCAACTAAAATGAAAGTTATATTTACCAAATTTGCAAATTGGTGTTTAAAGGGGAGACTTACTCCAAAATAAAACATTATTTATTTTATAAAGCTACAAAACCCTTTCTTCTCAAACAAGAATTTTCTAACTTATTTGACAATAACAAATAGTGTGCAGCTTGTTCTATTTTTAAGTTTCTGGAATTGAGGGGAAGACAGGGATTGCTTCCTTTAGAGATACTTTCAACACTCAAAAAGCACCAAGCTGCAAAAATAGTCAAGAAATTATATACAGCCAAGACAGAGCCTGTAATTTGGCTCAGAAAGCCTTATTTTAAATTTGTTAGGAAGGGCTCTTACCTTCTCCTCTACCCCCTTTGCACAAGATGCTGCAGTCTTGGTTCCAAACATAAAATTGCCCAGATGAGAAATTACTAAGAGCTAAACTGCAGCAGATGAAAATCGACTGGCAGCAGATGCAGTGCTGAGCACAGTAATTTTTAACTGTGGCCTTACCTTGGTTTTCAGGAAGTCGTTTGTCTGCTGCTCTCTCAAATTCCGAAATGCTGAGTTTCTTTCTCTTCTTAGTCATATGGAATGCAGCGACAGACGTGTTTTCGGGAACAAGGTCTGGCAGTTGCATTTCCCCCCTACCAATACAAACCAAGGCTTTAACAAAGGACAACACTATCACTTTGCTACCCTGGAGAGGTCCCTGTAACGTTGCTGAAAAGCAAATCAAAATTATTTGTCCTTGCCATAGCAGGACAAACACATACTAGCTAGGACTAGCTAACAGGTGGAATATAAAAACTTGCAAAGATCCAACTGTCTTGTCTATTCATTTAAGAAAGGCGGATGAGAAGCACATTCAAAGACATTCAAGAAATAGAATAAGCAAAATTAAGAATGAACTAAAATAATATTGTCACCATCTTTGAATTAAAAAACAAACAAATAAACAAGCCACTACACTTACAGAAAGTTCAGGTGTTTCTTTATTTAAAAAAAAAACAAAATCAGAAAGATAGAAGTTTGCCTGATATTTTACAAGACCTGTTTGAGGTTGCTTATGGTCAATGCAAAAAGTCTAGCTATAGGGACAAACCAGAAGAAATCATGTCATTTAGAAGGGTCTATTTTGCAGTAAGCAAAACCACACTAAAGTGTTGTGACAACACTGGCTAAAGCAAATTAAGACCTACCACCGCCACTGGTTTTCTTCTACTTCATAACAAAGTGGAAAGAAACAAACCACACTCCAGCCTCTTAGTCAGAACCATTAACTAAAAATATTAATGGAAGCTAAACATGAATAAAAGCAGCTGAGCCTCAGGAAAACCTCACCTCCAAACCGCTCTACAGGAAGGCACTAACCCCCAGCAGCCCAAAACGGGGACAACCAAGAAACAGTAACACTGTAAAAAGCTACAGCAGCCTGTGTTCTGAATACAAGGCACAGCAGTCACTCATCACACCTCGACATCATCAGCACACGGCCAGTAGCCTTGGGGAGACCCAAGAACTTCTATTTTAGCACATCACAGACAGCTAAGAAATATAGGCTCCCATCAGGTGACTTATTGTACCGAGCACTTCCTCTGCAAAACAGATATTGAAAGTCTGCACTTAAGGGGGACTAAGCACAAACCTGCAGTACTGACTATTCAGTCCCTCAGTCCCAGTGATTCCTATGCAATTTTTAAAGCCAAAGAAGTATTTCTGAAAATCCCACCTGACAGAATGCAATCCTGATCATTGAAACAGAAATAAAGAAATCCTGCCCCCCAATCCCATTAACGTCACAGGAACTGCAGCTATACCCGGTAGCATAAAAACCTACAAATATGACTTACATGCTGGAAACCCTCCTAGATGGGAGTTCTGACCGAGCTTCTTCTGTTTCTTCATGACTCGATACCCGAGGTGCCAGAGGTGAAACTTGCGGTTCTGCCAACAAACCAAAATATTTCCTTTCCACAGCCCAATCTGGCAAGAATGCCGACATGCAGCAGCATCAAACATACATTCTGCAAATTACATTTATTAAAGGGTAAAAATAAAGACCTGGTGAAAACTACCAAGGTTCTGCTCCTAGGAAGGCTGGCATGTACAGTTAACAAAGCCAGGGGTGACAAATGGCAGCGTGGGGGTTCCAGGTACTGCAGCTGAGGAGCTGAAGTTTGCAAGAGGCGTGTCTCTACCTACAATTTACACGTGATCCTACAGCTAAAGGCAGCACAGAGATGACACGCTTGTTCACCGGGGTAAGCAGAATGAATTAAAAGAATTTTCAAGACTATGATTTCATCAATGCAAGAGCTGGGCTTTGAGACAGAGCTGTATGGGATCACCTCCTCCAGCTCCCACTTTTACATACAGCAGTCATACGATGGTCTGGATTTCTGTTCCGCGTAACAGAGTAAGAATAGTAGGCTAGAAGAGAACACCTCCTGTTCTCCATTGTCCTTCTGTTCTCTGTTTTCCTGAAAAAAAGATACTTACGGGTCCGGATGATCCTCTTGAGCATAAGCCGGGGTGTTTCATTGTCGAGATCGGGTAAGGCAGTCGGTCTCTGCTTCAGCAAGGTGGTTCTGCCAGCCCCCTTCCTGGAATCAGAGTTGGTCTAAAGAGACAAATCAGAGGCATGCAATTCAAATATCATATTTTCATCATTAAAGATGAATCTTAGCATCAAAAAGCATTTGTCATCCCTCTTCTAATGAAAATCTAACAAACGTGAAACGTTTTCAAAATTCCCCAAAAGAAATCACACGCCTTTGCTTTCTAACAGTGCTGGCACTTCATTTTTGGGGATTCATTTTTGGGGGATTCCCAGAGGTCTGTCACCCAGGAGGCTGTCAATGCACAGCTCTCACCGGCAACAGAAGCCCCAGGGGCTGGGAAGCAGGGCCCAGGCCCTTTGTCCCTCACAGCCCTCACCCAAAACAACCCCAAAAGAGGAAATAAACGAAAAACACAACCGAGGTATAAAACTCTAACGGCCCAGGCTATTCGGTGAGAATGAAATTCAAGGGGGCTGGGCACATTTTAAAAAACACGCCTGAGGGCGGGCAACGGAAACGGAGCGTCCGTTGGTTGTCCCGGGTGCCCGCGCCCCGGGCCTCGCTTCCCCCTCACACCGAAGGGGGCTCCCCCTTCCCTTCCCCTCCCCTCCCCTCCCC